TGACCTTGAACACCTAAAGGGCTCTGTGAGAAAGGAATTCTACCTTAACACTGATGTGCCAAAACAGGATGTTAAGAGGAGATTTTCTCGTATTTCATCAAGTATTTTTCTTCAACTGGGAGAAGACAGGTGAGTAGAAAACATGATTATATATATCCGAACACAGTTTGGGCAAAAGTCCAGTGATGCTTTTGCAGCAAAGACCCAGTGGCAAACAGGCACTTCTGCCATTTACGGTGTTTAGTAGACATGGGGCATCCCAGGAAATGTGTCTGTACATGCACCAAACACTTCTCACTGGGAGTGAGAGGATCAGAAGGTGACTACAGCCTCTTCAGCTGTCCCACCCCTACAGTAAATCTATGTTCCTGCCATTTGTTATGGAAGACCAAGCTTTTGTGAGTGTGTCTATTTGTTGTCATTGCAATGTTTTCATCTTTTGACACGATATTCAATATACATTTTGCAGTTTGCTCCTGGTTGGAAAAGAAAAACCCAAACAAATCAACAGAGACTTATCCTGCGTGATCAGGTATGGAAGGGTGCAGAGGAAGAGTCACAGCACCACAGGGTAATGCAGCTGGAAGGCTCCTCAGTAAGGTCTCTGGTCCAACCCCCTGCTCCAAGCAGGGCCAGCTCTGGAATCAGACCAGGCTCCTTAGGGCTTTCTCCACATGGTTCTGGACCCCCTGCAAGGACTGAGCTGGCACAAGCAGGCACACTGAGGCATATTCTCCTGAGGCCAACTACAGTCAGGCTAAGCTGTAACATCAGTGCACGGAGGAAAACAGCCACAGAAACCATGTCTTTATTTCCTCCATGGAAAATACGTCATTGGTGACAATTATTCACTGACTCATCAGCATCCTTCCCCCTCTGATTAAATTAATTGGAAACACAGAATTGAAAGGAGAAAGCAAATTTGATACCACAGCTGCACATCATGGACAAACCAACCCCTCCTTCCCTAGCAGTCTGCGTGATTTTTCTGATCACTTTATTACTCTGCCATAGGAAAGGATTCCTTATTACTTCTGGCTAATTACTTCTTTACATTAACAAAAAGCAAACATCCTCCAGACTAATGGCTAAACAGCCTTCTGTAAGCCTTCTACTGGTAGGTACCACAGGCTCGCTGCATAACCTTGCGTGTACTCCTCCTTGTGCGTACTGCTTTCATTTGTCAAGTTTAAAATGGGAACAATTTACGCAGGCCCTAAGGTTGCTATAAGATTTCATTATTGCAAAACCCTACTCAAGCTCATGCCCACATACAATGCTGAAGCACTACTTATTATTAGCAGGATATTGCTGAAAGAAAAGAGAGGAAGCAATTTTTCAAAGGCTTGCTTCCTCCTAATTTCCCCCCAGAATAAGGCAGAGACGCAGCAAGCTTCCAAGTACTGGATTGGATTCATTCAGTAATACTGATATGCTGACAGTCTTCAATCAACATGCATGACAGGCGTTGCGATTGAAAGGGTTGAAAATGAAAAGTCTAGTGTTCAGCAGAAGTACCTCAGCAACTGCTGAGAATAAACCTGAAAGGAAAACAAGTTGCTGAAGACACCGGTAGTGGGAACATGAGCTATGGAAAGCACTGTTTGCTGTCTCCACAATTATATGGCTACGTTTAAAATAGCCACATATAAGGAGCGGGCTCACATTCTTGCCACGTTACTTGCAGAGACAATAGCCCCAGAAACAAAGTATTTTCTGTGCTGTCCTGAAAGTGGTGCAAGGAAAGCAAGTCTGCCACAGAAGACAACAAACAACAACTGACTGGCAAAACCAGTCAAGAAAAGCACTTCCCAAACCTCAGTGTTACCGGCTGACTGTGCTCTCACCACAGATGACTGCTGCTGTTCTTCTACTGCAAGCAAGACCAAGGGGCTGCTCAAGGCTCTTCTCACAGCTCTGGCAATAAACCCTTGTTTTCTAATCAACCCGTTCCCTCATGATTTTGGGGACTATCTGCCAGAATCTACATAACCCAGTACATCACTACTTCTAGTTCCCCTAAAGAGAAGTGGTGGGAGTCAGGTCTCACCCATGGGCCAGTTCCTGCCCAGGCTGCCCAAAACACAAACCTACAGCACACTCCTTTATATGTGGACTAAAATTCAGTACCCAAAAGGGAGGGGGGGTTGGCTAAACAACCAGCCATGGTGAGACCAGAGAACTCTTCCAATGTAATTGGAATTCTGATGGAATTTGCTACTTTTTCTTTTTTTTTTTTTTTTACCTCTTTTTAAAATATGCATTTAAGGTTCCTTGTGATCAGTGCAGAAAAAGAAACGGGCCTGACTAGTTATAGACATAAGAAGGAAAATAGCGATTCTCACTCTGGCAAAATACCAGCAGAGTCTTAGCTGAGAGCTCTTTCCTAAGCTACAGCAACTGGTAGGTGAGAATACATGAGCTGATCCATTGCATTACACTTTCACCTATCACACCTTCTACGTGATAAGTGAGCTACATCGTATGAATTTTTAATGCAAGGTATGATGTTATTGCAGTAGGACAAGCTCTTTACGCAGCTTCATATACCAGCTGAAAGCTGAAGTCACTTGCTAGAAACATCGCAATAGTTACCACAGAATCACAGACTGGTTTGGGTTGGAAAGGACCTTAAGATCATCTAGTTCCAAACCCCCTGCTGTGTTAGTAAACACACTAAACCCGTGGAGGAGACAAACGCATGAACACATCTACACAGAGATGGTGGCATTTAAAATGTAAGTTCACACTTGTTCACATTTGTTCTCTACCGAGCATGCTTTCAGTAGAGGTTGATGCAGCTTCATGGGTTTGGGGAACAGTGTTGATGACCATGCTGTTTTAAAGTCAGTGGTGCCACTAGAGGGAAGCTTCATTTTGTCTCAAGGTGCACTTCAAACAGGCACACTGTGGGTAAATACTGGCATCTATCATTTTGATCTCATGTCTGTCTTGTTTCCTATCCTCTAATAGACAATGTCCCATGCTTGCACCTTCCACTGAGGAAATTAATAAATAAGTAAAACTGAGGTTTAAATTGGAGCGAGGGGAGGCCAACAAGCTTGCCCTAGTCTTTCAGGTGGGACAGATGGAAGTTCACCACATGCTGGCCAAAGGAGCTGTCACTTTCCCCTGACCTCATGTCCCACCAAAAAGCAGAGCCCAGACAGGCTGAACCCATTGTAAGGAAATACACGCAATACAGGGCACACTCTGCTAAGGATGGAAAACTTACTCTTCATGAGATTCCCTAGAGGTTCTTAAAGCCAGGAGAACAATCCCAACAGCTTCATCTACTGTAAGATTTGGCCTCTACTTGATTGCCTCCCCTGAGACAGGCACCTGTGCTGGAACACACACATACCACTCTCTTGTATTATTTTTTTTTTCCCAGTATTTTATTTCTGACAGGCATTTACAACGTTCCATTCATAGAACTAAAAACATAAAAATAGACCTTCTTTCAGCTTATAAAAGAAATATATAAGAACCTTTGACATAGACATGTCATGACATTATGTACAAGAACAACGGTACCTTCCCAGTACCGGCCTTCCAGTATTTCAGTATTGACTGTATTCCACTGGGTACAGCACAGGACAGCTAAAACCTCCGCTTCTCTAATATGCTGGGACACAACTGACACTTAGATGATATAAAACAATGATGTGATAATACAAAGGGTATAGAAACCTTTCTAAAGCTTTTACGAAAAGAAATCAGAAAATAGCAAAAAGTTAATAGAGAAAGCTTTCATAAGATCAAGTATAGTGCACCAGAAACCAGAAAGGAGGGGGCAAGGGGAGAATGCTAGCTGGGACACAAAGACAGTGATGGATTTGGGGGGGAGAATAATTTTTGTTATGTTTTAAAATAGAGTCAGAGTGGATTTTATAAAATATAATCCTAAAGCTATTATAAAATTCAAGGTTTTCAAAGTACCTACTAATGTGTCAAACATCAATAGATACCACCAAAAACAAACAAAAAATCAAACAAAGGAAAAAAAAAAGAAAAAAATTCATAGAATCTTCCTTTTTTCCTACAGGTGAAACTGAAGTGGGAAAAGCTATATAAATCTTAAAAAAAAAAAAAAAAAAAGTGCTATTTTGTGTTTCGTATTTGGAAGTCTGCTTAAAACCCACAAGATTTTAGTCACATTTTACCCTGTTTTAGATGTTTAAATAAAGATTAAAAATGTTAAAGAGGTTCACTTGTGTAGAACTTGTTCATAATCTATTGCAGTGGAAAAGCTTTTATAAAGGAATTAAAATACACTAGTTTCACCCACAGTAGCGAAGTGGATGAGGTCAGTTTTTTGGCCATGAATTCCCTGTCCCCTAAGCCCAAACTTTGCCAGAGAGAGTGGACCAAATGGATCTGTGATGTTGTTACACTGGCTCCAGCGAGGTTACACTCCAACCTCCATCCGAGGCGGATCGATTTGGTCCACTACAGTTCAGTCATGTAATTTTATTTTATTCTTTTTATTATCTAACTAAACTCCAGTCTCAAACATATACAATAATCTTCTTCCTGAAGAAAGTTATACCTAAATAAGAGTTTCCAGTTCATATTTTAATATAAAACCACCATTCCTATCCCTCTGCAAAAAGCTAGCCTTGTATCCTAGACGTGGAGCTACGCTAATGCTGTAAAACTCACATCCCTTTGTGCCCCTGCATCTCAGGTAAAGTACAAAAAAATATTTCTTCAAGTGTTAAATTTGGATCTCTTTTAAGAGCGTTTGGCATCTTTATAATAGTATGTAAAACTAGAGCTTCCAACATTGACATTAAATTAGACCAGCCACAGACCAAGAGGACTTAACACAACATAAATCCCAAACCTTTCCTCACACACTCCTAAAATACATGTATAGTCTCTTACATTTAAAGAGGGAAAAGTAATAAGAGTACTGCAACTGTACACAATAAAAAGGCAGTTTCCTCATTAAGGAGATGAGCCTACGACTGACATTTTACGGCTATAAAACCCTCTGTTGTGCTCTGTTTAAGCTAGTTCGCTGCATGTAGGTTAAGACATCCAGAGTAATTTGTTTTCCAGTGATTATATTCTCCCCGTACTTAATTTCAGCCCCTGATTATTTTAGAATAAATAAAATAGTGTGAAAGCCCTTGGTAACGTAAGACAGGACCTTAAGCTTATTCTGTTCCAGGTTTTGAGCATTTTACAGTTGCCTAAAGTGTGGCCACATGGCTTTGGACCAATTCAGCTGCCGAAATGGTGTGTGCAAGTGTGCAATCTATCGGGATCAGCTCTCCGCAGTGTGCGGGGGCAGGAGGGAGGGGTGAGGGCAGGGAGACCTACGCATCTAGGTGGGGAAGGGGACTGGTTTAGAGCTCTGTGTTCAGTTTCCTGCTAGGGACAAAGTCTTCACGCCTGACCCAGATGACCTCCTCGCCGTGGCCCTCCATGTCGCCGTTGATGCCGGTAAAGGCAGCCTGCTTCTTCAGCTGGGTCATCCTGGAGGCATGCGTGTCCATGGTTGGGCGTGAGTGGTCCCCTCGGCACGGCTGGCTGCTTGTGATGGAGGCCGCCTGCAGCCGCTCCTGAAGGTCTCGGTCGGCCACAGCACCTCTCATGGCCTCGCAGTACTCATCGTCATCGCTGAGGATGTCCGTTTCCTTGATGTCCTCCTGCTCCTCATACTGAGCAAGGTCAAACTGTTCCTCTACCCAGCGGTCAGTGTCCCCACTGTGTGTGGACTGCTGGGGCTCTTTTTCAGGGCTGCTCGTGTAGACGGCATCTGAGTCAATGGTAAACCTGTTTCGGGCCAGCCGCCGCCTCCTCCTCCCAAGAGACTTGCTTGGGGCTGACACTGCACACACACAAAGATAAAACCCCACGGGCTTTTTACACACGGTACAATTCTCTTTAAAAAGACAGTCTTCCAGGGTCCCTTTATTTAACACCACTAGGCACAAAGCAGGCAGACTCCCACGAATGACCTAGTCATTCGGCATACTCTCTGCAAACAAGTCACACTTCACTCAGGTCCTCAGCACGGGTCTCTCTCCAGCTGAAAAAGGGAGTTTCTGCTACTCAGATCCACAGTTGGGCTAATGGCCCACAACTGCTGTTCCTCCTAAGCCGTAGGCAGGCAGCCAGCTAGCACAAAGTGCATCTGTTCAGCTCAGCTTCTCACACGCAGTGCCCTGCTGTCAGCACACTGCGAAAAACCAACTACCCTTACACTTCAGCATGGGAAATTGCTTTGTCCCAGGTAAAAGCAAAACTATAGGTTTCCAAGTAGCTACCTCAGTGTTGAAAATGCTGCAATCGCTGCATTATTTATGAGGATGTAAGTTCCCTGTCCAGGTTCTGCTGCTTCCCTCCCCGCTCCCTCCCTACTGGGGGGTTGGAAACGGGATGGACAACAGAAAACCCCAGTACCAGAAAAACTTTCAGAAGTTCCTTACTCAGCATCAGCTGGTCTACTAGCTTTTGCAACTGGCCCAATTAGCAAATTCACATCTTCTGTGTTGGAACATCTTCATAAGAGGCTTGTGAGGCAAAACGGGATGAATCCTGCAGCTGAAGGACCTGCAGGCATTCCAGCGCTTTATGTGCACTCACACGTAGCTCCACGGCAAGCAGGTGAACTTCCAGGTTATAGTTTGTCCCCTTCCACTAAACAGTACCTTAGCACTTCCAGTATGTATTTATTAAACTCTAGCTTGGGGGTGAGGTTACATTTTAATATTCCTGAACCTCAAAACATGCATTAAGTATGATAGCTCAGCAGCTGTAAATTTTAACTGTAGTGAGAGGTCTGGACTTTAAGAGGAGATTTTAATCTCTGCAGAATTCATCATGCAAATGTGCCAACAAGCCAAACTGAAAGAAGGTTTGGCATCTGCAGCAGATTAGCCCAACAGGCTGGTTGAATAAGCACTGTGCTAAAACAGTTGCCTTTTGGCCCTCCTTTGACTCTTCTTCCTTACGATTTTAAGTGTCTCTAAGGCAGATGGCTAGCAGCACCCCGAGTGAGAAGCCATGCTGCAAATGTTATTGGTCTGGCCTGCCCATTACAGAAGAGGAACAGAAAGCCTGGTGGTCTACATTGCTGGATCTAATGAGCAGAAAAAGATAAACCAAACCCAAAACCAGACCAGAACAAAACATGCAGTGGTGCCATGTACTTTTCAGTTGGAAGCAAATGTTTCTTCCCTCCATCATCTAGTGTTCTGAAAATGAAAACCTGCTTTTCCCTGGGATTCACTGTTTTTGCCTGAAGTCAACTGAAAGGGAAAATCCATGGTTTAGGACAGGCCATTACAAAAAGAATAGTATCAAGTGTATGCTTCTCAAAATGTGAGAAGTAGAAGCACGTGCCCTTTAGCAACAGAGCTGAAAAGGCTAAAATGGAGGACATACAATGCTATCTCTTCAAACAAAGCCACTCACTCAGGGGAGCTGATTTTTCTTGTGCATTTTAGTTTAAAAGTGCTAGGGTTAGCTTGAAATTCTGTACATGCTTTTAAGAAATATACAGCAGGCTTCTGCTTTGTTCAGCTGAAACCCATGTCCAGATTAAAGTGCACAGCCAAATCGGTATTGACAAGGATCCCATTCCTTCCTTCCTTACCAGAAGGACTCCTCTGAAGCTGAGCCTTGAGTGCAATGCAAGGTAAACAGAGGCAATGTAAGGCTCTCAAGGAGGTGAAGCATGGAAAACAAGCAGTTTTTACATACGCAGGAGAAAATACTAATCCTAATATACAAGTAACAGACACCGCCACATGTCCTACAACGGTGCTGGGGTTACTGGGATCTTGAAAGTCTGTAGCCCTACAGTACCTGCCCTGTTCATGGCTGGCCTTGCACCTTTTAGAGCACACAATCTTTTTCCACCAAAAGGAACATATTGCTGGGATGAGGGCAAACTTTCGGTTTTAAGAAGTTGTCTTCTGTGTTTATCCCGTAAAATCGAGTGCACTGCCTTCAGAAAGTCCTTCCTGTGTTCTGGTGAACTGAAACATAGGCAAGAATATAAAAGACAGTGTTATCTCTTGGGAACTGCTAAAAGCTCTCTGTAAATGAGATAAATAATGGCCACTTCTGTAATTTAAGACAGCACAAACTGATTTCCATGCACTTCCCCCAGAGAAGACTCAATATAATGCAGAATTTGCAAAGCAAAGCTAAATCAATAGTCATTACAATGGGCATCCAAGGAAACAAATACACTGTTCATTAACAAAACATTTAGCCATTTACCCCCCCGGGGCTTCCTTTCCCTCCATTACCTATCACACACTTCTCTTTGTCAGATACACATCAAGCTGACCTATGGTGACTAATTAAATCGTTGGTCTCCTGTTAACACACACCAAGCAGAAGTCCTGCAACTCTCTACTAGCTAGTAGTAGGAATTGGCTTGGTATCAGCTCTGCTGGATCCTGGTTTGCTTGTGTACCACGTTCTTAATTTGAACTCTAAAACACATCAGCGCAACTACCACGATGAAGATGGACAAAGCTTACTTAAGGAGAGAGCAATGCCCTAAAGAGCAAGAGTCAAGATTGTGGTGGCATGGAAGGTGCCAGCTAAACATGACACATTAGAAGCTACCTGGCATAAAGATGCACTGCTGGCATTTAACTGGATGTAAATTTTAGAAGAAAAACTGTAATAAGGATATTTCCATAATGGTGCAAGGCTGATCAAATATATGCCTTTATTTTAATCCATTTTAAGAAATTCTTCTTGCTAGAAATAAGGCTTTAACACCCTCTCCCCGCTTTCCTAGCTTGCTCTTCACAGATTGCCTTAAAGCAAAGACACAGGCAAGCTGGGGTCCAGAGATGCAGCTGCCATTGAAAAGACAGTAACACACTTACCTACAGCAAAGGTGAAACGTTCTTTCTGGCCTGCCTTCAGACTCAGATTTAACATGGACAATCTCACATACAGAATTGGCTTCTGCATCTAAGGTGAAAAGCAAGCAGAACTTCATATAGGTTTCTTATATTTAAACTTGATTATTTCTTCAATAATTCTGCTGATAATATTATGCCATGGCTGAAAGACAGCAGTGGGCAACTGACCGATGAAACAACAGACTTAAACTTGCCAAAAAATAGTAGTATTTTATATGCACTCAGTCACATAAAAAATATGGGGAAACCCCCCCCCAAAATCTCAAACCAAAACCAAAACCCAAAAGACAACATCCAAACAAAAACAATCCAGCTTTTCAGGTATTCCGTAGCGCAATGTAACATTCTACAGCTACCTCCCATATTCTTTCCAATTTCTCTTATGCATTAGAAAGGGAGCAAATTGTTTAAAATTACAAAATTTTTAAAACTACAAGTTTCACATGAAGCCATCAACCACAAAAAGCAAGAATTCACTAGCTCTGCTGTCTCACGGCTGCAAGACTGCCTTCTAGTCTCCAGAAGAGGAACAGAGTGAACCAGAGTCAGCAACAACTTTGCCCTGTTTTCCCAGAACCCTGCCTAGCTTCAGAAAAAGTACTGACAAACCAAAGATACACAGCTGGAGCTTTTGCTCCTTCATCTCTCTCTCCGGGACTATTATGCATGTTGAGGTTAAGGGTTCCTTTTTCAGGTCCCAGAAACTGCATGCACATGGACTAAGGACAAACATCAGTCAGTGAACGCCCCCTGGCCAAACACTTAGAACCCTGCCAAATTCATGCAGCAGGAACATTACCTGCACTTGCCAATGCACGAACTTGCAGTGCTTCTAAAGGTATCATGTGGCGAAAGCGGAATGGATCCCAGTCTTCATAAATTGAAGCTCTATGTGATCCTCCCTGGAAGAATTTCAAAATACCATTAGGAAATGAGACACCCTGAGATAGACACAAAGTTCTCCTGTGCCCTGCATGGAGAATGTCCAGCTAGAGACTTGTTGCAATTCTTCTCACTACAGCATCCTAGTAACCAGTGTCACTGAAGTGCCTATCCATCAAGAACTTGCTAAAATCCAGACAAAAGCAACCATTAGGCCAATCAATCTTATTAATGATTTCAATAGTCATTTGAGACCAGTGCCGCATTCTCTCCTCCAAGTGCACATACGTGCACAAACATGCATTAGTTTTGCTTTAGTTACTCCAAAGTTATCTTGTGGCCAGCTGACAAACCATATAAGCATTTCAAATCACACTTCAGTTTATGCCATACATGGGAACCAAAACGTCTTCTGCAATAATATAAACTGTGTTCCCTATTGTAGTATGTGTTTACCGTCAAGCTTAGCTTTAACTTTTAAACCCAAACTCCAGTAGGATCCACTGGTACGTATATAATGTAGGCTCATTTAATTTAGCTGAGAGCAGCCAGCACTTGCTCAGCCAGGCATGCAACAGCCAGGACTGAAACGAGGGCATTGTTTTTCCCTAGGAAAAATGACAGACATCAGCTCTCATATTTGGTTCATATACACTGACCAAAGAGTCAAACACAAGAGAGATGTTCAAGGTGATACCTTGTTTCATGAAAGTCCACTCCACAGCATGGGGTGGATGGCACAAGCAACGTGAGAGAGAGCAAAGGATAAACTAAATGAACGCTTTCAGACTGCTGCACCCAGGATGAACAGCAGGCCACTTGGCATTACCCAGAACCTCACTTGTATGGCTGAGAACAAGGATCACATATAAGCACACTCTAGCATCACAGCTTCATGGAAAGCAAATCTTGATCGCAGCACTACAAGTGCACATAGCATCACCAAAATAGTCCATGCAACTTACAAGTTTCTTCTTCTGTTTGGAACCATCCTTGTACACAAGGACCACAGCAGTTTTGAACACTAGAGAAAGTGAGAAACAAAAGCCATGTAGTCAGTAAGGATGCAAATGGGTCTCCTCTATGCCCATCCACGCAGACCTTTCAACTGTTCAGACAGCCCTTGCCTGAGTCAGGGAGGGAAGGCAGGAGTAAACCTACCAGCTCTCTTGCATACTCTTCCAAAAACACCCAAGCTCAACAGCTTTTACCACACAAAAACAGGCTACTTCAAAGTCACTTGAAACTTAAGAGTTGAAGTTATTATTATCAGAACAACTATTCGAACAGCAACAGTTCCCTATGAAAATTTAGAAAACTTTAATCCCCCTACCTAAGTTCACCTTAGACAAATAAGGAGCATCCAGCTACGGGCAGCCAGTCAGCATGGACAGGATTTGAACTACTCGCAGGTGGGACAGAGATCTATACTGAATCAAAAAGTGAGCACCACTGGCAAGCAGAGCTGTAATCCAGTTTCTCTTTTGCCACATAACCTCCATATGGAGCTGGAGTTTGTCTTTCAAGACTCCAGTTTTTCTTGCTATCTCTTTTTTCAGGTCTCAAGTGCAGCCTTTGTTTTCAGACTGAATTGCACGGACACTTAATTTTGGACACCTTATGAAACTAATTCAAAGACGTTTTTGGAGTAATTAAGAGTTGCTGCACATTCTTAGCAGCTTTCATGAGGCCACTCAGCTTCAGGGTATGACCAGGTGCTTTCCCAGCTTATAGGAAGGCAATTTTTCTATATTCTTCCAGAGACAAGCTGAAAGTCTGCATTTGTTATGTGTTTCATATAAAACAAACAAAAAAATCACTGGCTTCCTAACCAGCATCACTTTCTGGAAACAACAAGGAAAAAGCCCACTGCCTCTAAAGAATTTAGGAACAAATAAAGAAAGCTTAGCACACTCTGCATTACTTGACAGAATTCTGAAAATAAGAGACATGTGCAATTTAGCCAATACAAGCTATCACGTACCTTTCCATGGGAACATACTTCCATTCAGTGGAAAGACCTCGAGATCTGTGCCAACAGCAGTCTCAATTTCTAGTCTGACCACCCAAGAGAGACCTCTGCTTGGAGGGAAACAGACCACTCCAAAGCAAGCCACTGGGAGTCCTGGCTTAGCTTTTAAGCACTTTTTAAAGCTTAGATAGACAAGTTCTTTCTGGCAGAAGGCACGGAGAAAAAAGGCAAAGCCTCTGCAAGCCCCCATCCCATTCTATAGGATGTGAACTAGAGTTACTTGGCATTGACCAGACTACTGAGCTGTATCTTTTCAGAGAAAAAATACCTTTCTATATAGTTCTCATTTCATAGCCTTGGATACAGGTTTAAGAAACTCTTGCACTATTACAGCAGTTATCTCCAAATTCTTGACCAGTTTTAGATCAACACAAAGAGAATTTGACCACTGCAGCAAAGAGACAAATACAGTTTAAAGTTCCAGCCAACCCTGCGGATAGCAATGCTCAACTACCTTCAACAAATATCTGCAAAGTCACAGTCTTTTAGGCATTGAAAATAAAATTACTAGGATACAAACCAAATGCTGCCAGCTCAGGTTCCTTCTTCCATTTCCCCAGTGAGGCAGGAGGATTCAGCCATATCACTGTATTATGCAAGAGCAAGTCTCCCATTGAAAGGTCTGCAACCTGTCAACACAAAGACATGCACAAAGACACAACGTGTAATCAGTTCAAGTAAGCTTATTTGAATTTTCAGTTCAAGAAAATTGGACTGAAATTTATTCCCAAATGAACAATAAAAAGCCCCACATGCAAACTTCTGGAATATTTCATCAGATGACTGCAAGCATGTGCAAACAGGCTGTGACAGTGGGCAACAGATGCATGTAAACCCTTAACTGGTGAGCATAAATTAGGAAAAGTCAAACTCAGAGTCTGACTCTCATAATTTGGTGGGAACTCAGGGCAAACCCAGGTATTTTCCTTGCATTTTTTCTTCTCTTTGTCCATCTTTCTCCCTACCAGCTCCCTTTCATTTGTTTGAACATTTAAGCATAGCCCCCATCCCACACACATAGTTTGCGGTAAAATTTAGAGACCACATTATGTGAAGCAAACAAAGCACTTCTCCCCACAGTTGCTATGGCTCTTGATTTCACCCTATGGCTCATCTGTGGAAACCACATTGCTGGAAACAGACTAATAAAGGAGTTCATAACAATTGTTGGGAGATACCTACTAATACTGCAGCAACCAAATCTTTCACTTTGATTTACGGTCTCCCAAAGTGAGAAATGAAGGATTATCCCCAGTCTAGGGGCTGTTACCCCATTCCCCAATCCTCCTGCCAGTGAAGTCTGACTTTTACCAAAGGCCACCACAAACACCGTCTGTACAACTATCTGAGGGCTCCCCAATTAGAACAGCAACAGTAACAGATGTATTAACTGCCTCCTTTCCCAGATTAACACCAGATTACCCTCCCAACAGATATACTGACACGCTGTCTCTACCATTGCTTGCCAGCACCAACCCTCGTCTCTGCCCTCTACCCATCACCAGATCCTCCTTGCTGCCACTATCCAGCTCTCATGCTTCTCAATTATGTCAACACTACTTCAACACTACTCAGTCCCAGACCTCCTTCACTTTGTAGCCCAACGCCTCTTCTGTGTGTAACTTCATCCTGGCTGCTAGCAAAACCTCATTACTATTACTTCACATGGTCATGTCTGTCTCCAGCCTTCACCCACATCACTGCTCCCATTGGCCCTTTAGTGTTTCTACCTCTCTTAAGTCTCCCTTGACCTTACTTAATGCCCTTTTTACTGTCCACCACCCTCCTTCCCTGGGCTGCTGGACCGCAGACCTACGTTTTACCAGTAAATGGAGAGTCCAGGTCTCAGCCTGAAACTTCAAGATACCTTCCACAGGTTTCTGAGATGGTCAGCCAGTACTGAGCCACACAGCAGTTTCTCACACACTGCACCTCACATTTTGAGCTCTTTAAATTGACTAAAGAGATAAGTACAGACTTGCCTCAGCATGACAGTCCACTCAGATTGATGGGATGACATTATTTGTGTGGAACAAGGAGAGATAAGGCATGGACATCATCATAGTGAGCAGCAGGTTAGGATGTGATTTTGACTCGAGCACAACATTGTTTAATTCATGTTGGTGAATTAACCCGCTGCTTCTTTAGATTGGTCCCACTTGCCCAATCATACATGGAAAGCCAGTTTTTGAATTGGAGTGGGCTTTATCTGTTTACACCAGAATCCACTTAAATGACACAGCACGAAAGGTAAATACTTGATACAATTTAACATTCATGCTACAGGCACTAAAATAACAGCCTTTTTTCTCTTAAATTTCATCACGTTACCTCTTTTTTCTCCCCTGTTTGTTCTGCTATGAGTTGGTCAAACACTGCCCCATATTCTTCATGGATTTTTTGCATTTCATTAATGTGGCTGGCAACTTTGTTCATTGTTTTTATGGCCACTAAAAGAAAGTGGGAAAAAAAAAAAGTATTTTTAAGCCTCTGAGAGGAAGAGGGAGGAGGAGGAGGAGGGCTAAAGATCAGAGGTTAAACAGGGAAAAGCAATTTAGGTTAGCTGCCTACCATCAAGGTGATAATGTTCTTCACTGTCTACATCAGTTAGAGCAAAGAGCTCCTTCAGCAGGAGAGGGTATTTCAGTATCCGCTGGATGGGTTTGATGAGGTAAGACTCCAGTGTGGAGGAGTGCTGCCGTCGAGGATTCTGAGCATCCAGAAATGCCTTGAAAGCAGTGTCTGTCTTGGCTGGAAGATTAAAATGAAGCAATTGGATAAATCAAAAACTGTAAAAGCTGCTCTGACAAAGTGACTTTTCCAGTTTTAAATTCACATATACAGAAACATTTTGCAAGGAAGTGCAGATTTATCAAGTCTACAGTACTGGATTTATGCACTTCAGGTTTTAAGTTACTGAAACTTTGCCACAGATATGCTATTTATAATTTAACAGCAGGCACCCACCTACTGTATTAACACATACAGATTTTATTTTCACTATCCACGGTATATCTGTGGATACTGAAAATTGAGTTGACCTAGCAACTATTATAGAGTAGCATAAATTGTTTTAATCATCTGTTTCCTTTAAGAAAGGGCTCAAATTGGTTATTTTTAAGAAATCAGTACTCATGAGTCTGGTCTGACAGGTATACCTGTAATATTGGCGAGTTTGGTTATTAAACCTTAAAATGCAGTGCTGAACAACAAAAATCAAGAGCTAGTATGGAGGCAGCAGGGAGCAAACATCTGATAGTACACCGTATTTCAGAGCACAGGTAGACTGGACATCTGATTTCTATCATCTTTTCTATCTGACTGCTACTCAATTTATAAAAGTACCATATTTTCTGTTGCTCCCTCCACTGGAGCATAAACTTGAACATAGGGAGAGAAGCACGGAGAAAGGTGGCTTTTTTTTTTAGACGTTAAAGTTATTCACTGCAGGAACATTTCCACACAATTGCTTTTATTAGGGCCATGTTCTCTACCAAGGTTGGGTGGGTTTTTTGCAGACAGTCACCTGATTTCAATAAAGCAACTTCAGTTTCTAATTCAAAAGCCACCTGCACATCATCTGAGGACACCAAATTACACTTGAAATACACTCCCAGGCTTATCCAGATTTATCACTGGAATAAAATACCGAGTTCCGTTTGTGCCAGAATTCAAACATAACCATTTCTCATTTGTAAACACAATTAGCAAAGACAAAGCAAAGCAAACCAACCTCATCTACCTAGTCTACAGCATTAACATTAAGGTCTAACAAAATAATGCCAAAAGAAAGCATGGATGTGACTATCAACAAGTCATTTATTCATGCATTCCACAGAGCTGCCAAGTATTCTTTGCAGCATGGTAAATAAGAATTTATAAGTAGAAATGAAAAAAACAAACAAAACAAAACAAAACAAAAAAACCCAAACAAAACCAAACCAACCAAGAAACTAAACCAAACACCAAAACTCCTGATTGTTAGGCATCCAGATGTTCTTTTAAAACATAGGAGTTCCTCCCTAATGACATTGCTCCTACAACTGAAACCATTTGTTTATTTAATGTCTTGGCCAAAAATGAATTGCACGAAGCACTGCAAACTCCAAGAGATTAACTTTCACAGGGGAAAAAGCATCACTCCAAGGCATGGAGGCCCATGAGCATTTATAAGCCAGACCACAGTTCATTTATCTTCATCTCAGCAAGCCAAGCTCTGCTAGGACATGGAAACTTCTCAGCCAAATTGGAACAAAGGTGAGAGGAAGAATAGGGGAGAGACAGAGCATAGTGAAGTTAATATAGTTAAGACAGCTCCCATAAAACATTCTCCCAGGCTGATCTCTCCTAGTGGGTATCAGCATTCAACCAAATCAGCCAGAGCTTCAGTGGGATTCACAGCAAGGATTCACAGCACAGAATGTAGGAGGATCCAGAGGTCTTTACAAGAGTCACCACTACTGGTTCCAAAGTACACAGAGATCCTTTAGCACACACCACATTGCCCATTTATGAAATCTTTCCACTCTCCACATGACTGAAAAGAAACTAAACATGTCAGGGGAGAATAAAATAACTGGGGGGGGGGGGGAAACCTACACGTGAGGTTAATGACCTCTGGAGAATAAAATAACTGGGGGGGGGGGGGGGAACCTACATGTGAGGTTAATGACCTCTTGTTATGAGCCACCTAGGTACCATTACATAGATGGTGGTCCAAGAACACCCAGAGCTCTCTGCAGCTTCTCAGGCCAAATGCTCTTCCTTACTGTGAGGGCTCTTGGAAAGCAACCGGACACATGTGTGCCCCCATTCCTCCACTACAACTCGCCCTTATAAGTTGCATGGTTTGGGGTATAGTAGCCATCTTTCATCATTCACAATGACAACCTGCACCAGCTAAACAAACAAGTTGCTGCCACATCTCTCTGTATGGCGAGGTCTGTCTGTTCTGCATGTGTTTCTTACCTTTCACCAGTACTTTGGGGACTTTTGTGTGGCTGGCACAGAAGGCACTGTACAGCTTGAACCGGTCAGCATAATAAAGAAAGGATCCACCCAAGGAAAACAACACTTTCTAGGATTAAAAAAAAAAAGAAACAATAAAACAACAAAAATGGCATTAGGAAAAAAAAAAGCACATGAAAGCCAGTTATTTTCCCTTCTGCCAGGTCTTCTGGATGACAGGACACCATTTTTAGAGTGTTTTCACCCTATCTAGCAAGAAACAGGCCTAGCTTGGCATCTGGATTCAGGCTACATGATTAACATCATTAGCCCAGTTCTAGTTAAATTGGTCTAGAGATACTACGGACTCCAGAGGGAACTAGGATCACAGCTCCAGAACTGCATTTAAATGCTTGACCTCAAAACCTTATTGATTTAAGTAATGACCAGAAACCACAGAAAGGACTGGATGTATCTGACTTTGTAATGGATGAAGACACTAAGAAAGTGCATGCAAGACTATTACCCTCTGCACAAACACATCAAGGTCTTATTCTTTTGAAAGTAAGTTTGTGTTAAGGGCCAAACACAACCTTTCTCTAAGATGTCTATGCCACAGTCAAGCATTTGCTCTCCTGGCCCATTTAGCAACATGACAACATGGAGCAGGGGGGGTGAGACAACACATACTCAGCTTGCCTGCAATCAGCAGAGGAAAGCAAACTGCAGAACTGAAACAATGAAGCCCAGAAACCCCATTTTGCCCAATGCTTTGAGACAAAAACCACAGGACAGAACTCAAAATGAAGATGATGCACTTCTTATAGAAAGACGTGGAAGCAGCAGCACTCAAAAGACAGAGTTCTCTCCATAAGGAGGCATCTTCCACACTGCCCTCTCAAAGCTCAGAGTACTCAGTGGTCACAGAGGCTTCATCCACTAAAAAAGTGTCTCTGTGCTCTCCATTAAGGGCACATTTCCTGCAAAACAAAGTCTGTGTTCTAGTTACGCGAGGGCAGCATCCATGACTGCTGCTTATTTTTAAATAAGCACCTGATGGCAAAGCCAGACATGCACAAAAAGACAAATTCTTTCAGTAGTTCTTCCAGGGCTGTGTATTAGCTGAAGAGAAATCCTAGTGGAATTATTATTATGCATTGAGTCATCATCCTGTCCTCTACCAAGGTGAGTGCTCAAAGAAAGAGTAAAATTCCCCAAAGAGAAAACATTGTATTAGCTACTTGCCATAAATTCAGTACATCACTGCAGTAGAAATAAACCAAAATCTCTGTTTCCACACTTTTTTAAACTAAGCTTATGTATCTTTAGTTTACATTTCTACATTTGATGCACAACTGCTGATAGCTGAAACTATCTGCTGTGCATTTCTGCTATACATCAAAAGCACAAATACAAAATTCAATTTACAGTTCTAGTGGGCTTCTGAGCTACTACATTAGACTTGTGAGAACCAATATTTTATGGAACTTCCCAGTTATAGCTTTGCCTAATTGCCTGAGACATGAAATCTGGCAGAAGGGCAAGAACAGCACCTAAAAGCACATGGTGTTACAGATTTCCAGTGCTCTATATGGCTAAATGTAGCACAAACTACAACTGTAGCAGTATGTTTTCCAAACAGCTCCAGTATTCTCTAAAAATTATTCTTGAGTAAGTAGATGTAGGTTTTTACATTAACAGTGACAGCAGTCAGAGAAGTAACATGACGAGTGTTAAAGGACTACCTGGAATGTAAACAAGGAGATTACCTTAAATTGCTCAACTTTTTCAAGCTTTTCCAGGTCTGGAACCAGCCTTACTCCATCTTCAAGAGTTTTCAAGAACTCTACCTGGAATGCTACCATTTCAGTCAGATTTCCAAAGAGAACGTCCAGCTAGTAAGGAAAAAAAGCCAACAACAAACAAAACAAAAAAGCAAGATGCTGAAAGTATCACTTTGCAGCTAAATCACATTTTCTAGATCTTCGGTAATTCTCAGTCCAATTGTATGACCAGTGTGATATCAGTGTAAAAAAATCCCAAACAACATAACCCTACAGACTGTACATTACTGAGCAGTATTTTCATATTCTACTCAATGTAGTATCTTAAAAGAAATAGAATTCAAAATGTCTTGATAGCCCTTGCTCAGAGAAGCAAGTCAAGCCGGGGGGTGGGTGAAGCAGAGGGGTGTGCATAAGCTATCCAGCAAAAAGATAAACAACAGGTATTAACATACCTCATCTGGTGTGAGAAACGTTTCCTTTTGTAGAGGCTTCAGGTATCTCTCCATTAGACAATTTAAGTCCTAAACAATCAGAAAAAGACTCCCATGTTGGTACAACAAACTGCCTTTGAATGTTTACTGAAGTAGCAAAGATCACCATTTACGTAGTCTATGAATTGTTCCCTTACACACATAAGACAAAATAATCAGATTTCACAGAATTTAAGGTAGTAAAAGGAAACCTTTACATGGTTTTATTTAAGAAATCAATACTGGATCTCACTGAGCAGTGCTCCTTTGAACACCACCTAAGTAATTTCAAAATGACAGCATTAAGAATTTGGAAAAACTATTTTTTTCAGGCATTTAAATTACATTTAGTTCTACTATCTGTCCCTAGAATAGTAAGCTAATTAAGAGACACATGCATGAAACATAATTTTAAGTATTAGAAAAGAAACAAAATTTGCCAGAAGGAGAAATATTATTAGGCTGAAAACAACACACTGAGATCCCTTACTTTGACATAGGTGCGCTCTGTCTCAAGAAGTTCACAGATAACCTTTCGTAGTTTATCTGCATCTGTGAGTTGTCTCATGGTGGCCAGCTGGGGTCCTGTAAATTCCTGAGGATGAGCACTTGAATCAGAAGGGTTCATTTCATGCAGACTGCGACAGAAAGCAGCGACCTGCTCTGTACTCTTTAAAAAGAAGGAAGAGGAAAGACGAGCAGTAATATTTTAAGTAAGACCTATAGGAACAATGGAGCTGAGAAGCCTTTGCAGTTAAGCAGTTGCAGGCTGGGGCTTTTTAGCAGGTGCCAAAGTCCAGAAGTACACACATCAGTTCATGTATCTGTCTATCCTATGTCTCAGGGACTGGGGACTCAGGAAGGGGTGGTGGGAAGAGTTGCACAACTCAAGTTAATTGAAGTGCTGTTCAATAACATTCCTGGTTTCGGATAAGCATGAACTTTAATCAAAATAAGCTGTCCAGCACTTAAGATTGAAAAACAAACAAGGCTCAAGAATGGAACAAAAAATGACTCTGCAAATAAAACACACACCCCAGCCCTCTGCCAGTTCCCTAATCTACTTTGCAAAAGTCCTGTGTCAACACAACCAAGGAGACAACAGGGAGACAGAAACCGTTTAAGCTGTTTTTCAGGGAAGCAGAGCCATCTGGGGAACCAAAGCCTCTCACAGCTTCAAACGCAAGCTCTTTGGGAAACTGTGTTCTGTGTCTGGAAACAAGCTTTGCAGGGTGAATTTCCTCCCTGTAAGTCAGGCTTTTTAGAGTTGCTACATCTAGGCTGTTTCTTTAATGTTTCATAAGCTGTCTATATACAAAGACAATTATCCCCTCTTCACCTCCTGGTGTTCGATCACAGTACAGCGTCTTTTGTTATGCTGAAAAGTTTGGAGCAGGTATAGACTCTGGTGTCAGTGACAACAGCCCCAGGCTTCCAGGATTGCCAAAGCAGCAGCTGCCCTTGCCTCCAGACCTCCCAGAGACCTAGAGGGGGCACGGGCAGGAAAAGAGCTGCTGCACTTTATCACACCTCTCCAACCTCCTGTGTCTAATTCTGCCATGGTATCCTTAATCCAGATTTAGTAACTTCTCAGCACTGCCTCCATAGCCTACCAGTGCATACTAAAATAACTGATTCAAAATTAGCCTGTTCAAACAGAGAATATGCAGAGAGATAACAACCAAAACAACGCAAAAAACACATCATCACCTCGCAGTTGGGAGGCAGAGCCCTGACCCTTGGGAGATCACTCCCACCCTCCAGCTTGTAGCAACAACCTCAGCCAGAACCTGCACTACCCTACACCTACATGATGACCCAGTGCTGACAAAATCTCTGCGTTTTTTAAGCTGCACAGTTCGTTCATGCAAAGCCATCTTTCCTTCTCAGTGCACCTACAACGCCATCAAGCCCAAGAGGAGCATTAACCATGCTCGTGATAAGTAAACGATTTCCAGCCATAATACAGTCGCTTTCCTTAAAGGTATCTTAATGGTTGTAAATGTTCATCAGGGTGTACCACTGCAAGTCATATTAGTAGAGATGCTTATCATGCAAAGGATAATTTTCCTGAGGACACAAGTGTAAGCAACAAACTAATTGTAACTGACTGTTTATACAAAAATGCCTCTTGGACACTGTTTATTATAGGAAAAATATTAATCTTCAGTAGCTGAGGTTTAACTCTTAATGAGGAAGAAAGAAATTGTTGTAAGTTGAGGGCAGGAAGAAGCAGCAATTTGAACCAGCCGATTTCCAACTTGATCAGCTTCTGGTAATGATGTGCCACTGAGGGCTCAGATTTATTACTCAAAGTCATTCCTTTATTTCTCAGCAAGATTCCACCTGTACTCACTGTACTCTTAAGTATAAGCCATACCCAAACTTTTAGGTTAAGCCTGCATTAGATTTCAACTGGTGTGATTTTGATCCCAACAGCTCCAAATTCACAAAGCTCAGTAGGTTAAAGCATGGTTTCAGCATAGGCAAAAAAAACCCACCCTGCCTAAATTACCTGCTCTGCTGGAAAGGGATAAAGAGCTGACAATTAATATATGTTAATCTAAACCTGCAGAGACGCAGGATGTGCAGGATATGCAAGCTGAAAAATGCTTAGCTTTGGTGCTACTATTTTGTGAAATAATATTTGAGGAAGACATATCTAGTGGCATTTTAAGAGCCAATATACATTATAACTAATTTTATTCATATAAAACACAGCATGGAATCAAAGTCCAAAAATAAACTAAGTATTTTAAGCAGTTCATGTTTGATACTTTGCAGACAGCTCACCATACTGTGCATGCACTTGCAATACGTTTCCCTTCAACTTCAGGAAAGGATGGGTCACCCAGAAAGAGCAAAAATCCACTTACACCATGGAACACCAGCTAAACACTAACAAGTAGCTGAAAATTGGATAACCGTCATACAGGCACGCAGCCTGCTCCAGAAGGAATGTGCCAAAAAGGAAGTGGATAAGACTTTTAAAAGCCTTATCTCCACTTCTGCACACTTAATAAAGCACTCCCTGACTTCGGCCATGCCCAGCTCCAGCCAGCAGCAACCAAGCTCTGCCTTGCCACTGCCCGGCCTCACATCTTTTTGTTATTTCCCAGGTTTTACTCACCTGACACTCTTGGGACAGACAAAAAGCCCCCAGCACAACAGTGTCCACGAACCCATTCTCTTGCTTGTTCATTGAACAACACTGTTGTGGCTGCGTGCCTGTTCACCCCTGGCTTAAGCCATAACTACCAGGGGGTTTGTGATGGCTGCACCCTCCTTACTCTGGACCCTGGGGGGATACATGGCAACACAGTAGCCAAGGGCTGTCTGGAACAGTGACCCAGATGTCTTGCTGGTATGCAAATATGACTAGAAGTCCATCACCTTACTCTATAAATAGTGGGTAGCCCAGAGCCCATTGAGCTTTCCTGTATGGCAGCAAGGCTGTAAGGCAGGATCTCCCCTTGACTGAGGACACCTCTCAAGGTTACTCTTTGAGGTTGAGAGATTCCCTGTTGCAACAGATTCTCAATAAGTGATTAATAGCATGCTAAATTTTGACATTGTGGCTAAGTGGCATAGAGGATTGATTGCACATACATAATTCTTTAGACATAAACCATTGACCATGTCTGGGACTAACTCTGGATCTAGCTGCACCTAGTCTCCTCTCTGAGGAGTTTAGAAAGCAAGAGAGTCCTTTCTGAACCTCATTACTCAAGGGGAGGTTCTCCCTGACTGTTTTGTCTGACCCTGACATCTATGCAGTAAACAATCAAATGTACCTTGCTATCAAATCTTGTTAAACCAGTTGCATTTACTGTCACACTTTGTTAACTTATTATTTGGTGTCAATATAGTTGCATCTCTCTTTGAGCAAAGCCCATGACTCTTATCTGTGACAACTGTCTTGTTTCATTCCTGAACCGCATCCTCTCTGCCCTTATATTTACCTTAACAAAAAAATCAATTTCTAGACAGAAAGCAGATGCATATTACAGCAAGGGAGGGTCAGAATACTGCTATTTTGGTGAAAACTCTTACGCAGTATTGACAAAATCCTCTATGTTCCTGTTTTCCTAGAGAAAGCAAAAAGAGTAGGAAAGGTCTGGAACAGAAACAGATCCTTTTATCTCCCCAGTACCAGATCTGTTTGGCAACTGTGACAATGGCATCACTGAACCAAGATTTCTCTAGGAGAATTACAGCATCACACTGCAGGCACAATTCTGCAAGCAATTCCAAGCAGCAACCTTAAAATGAGATGGAGAGCTGGCACAACAGGGTTGTAAAGCTAAGTTTATTTTGCAAGTACATTAACCCCTTCTCTGCAGGGGGCTCAGCTGAGAAGCTAAACTCACATCCTCCCCATGCAGGAGGAACAAGACCTTAAACTCATCAAGCATGTTGATGCTCCCCACAGTAGGGAGTTTTGGCTACCTGCCCTATAGCTTTGAAAGCCCAAGTGCCATTTTCTGTTGCACTTACTGTGTAAAGACATACGGGTGCCTGGGCATCAGGCAGACTGCCCCCTTGAATGGCATGCAGCACCTCTGTTGTGCCACGGATAACAAACTCTAAGCGGCACTGATCTCCCAAACAAAACTCAGACAAATTGCATCCTTTCATGCATTGCCAGGACTGCTAATGACATTCCACAATAACAAAAAGCTTCTACAGGGTATATACAGCTCAGCCTCAAATTTATATCCTGAAAATTAAACCATGAAAATTCATTTAACTGCTAATTACTTAGACTAGTTGTGTTGCACAGTAGATCTGCTCACCAAATACAGCATACGGTACAGAGAGTCACCGGCTTTCCCAGCACTTTCAGTCTTGAGCTTACGGTTAACTCTCCAAAGAGCCGACATCGCTGCAAGGGCAGTATTGCCAGAGCTGTCACTCATCTAGGAGCAAAATCCCAGTTCTCCACATATTCAGCTGATCCGAAAGGCTTCCCCACTGCAGACAGACACTCTGTGCTGCTTACTTGGCACACAACACAGAAGATGGCTGCATTTTAATAAGGAAAGGCAGTGACAATATTTCTCTAAGCAAAGCTTTTCCGCATGTGTCATTTGCTGCTGGCCTCGTTAGCTCACCACATCAGCTGGAATTAAGAGCCGGCTACTGGTCGAAGCTGAGAACTCAATGCCGCTTGTCATAGGCTCATTAAGAGCAAAACTTCAGCAGAGAGGCTGAAACACAGCAAAGCAGAGGTGAAGGCAGCCTGGGAATATAAATGTCTGTTGCCTGTGGCTGAGCATGAGCCGATTGGCTACAAATGGCACTGCTGTAGAATATTAAACATGTGAAGGGACAGAGGTGAAGAATTGAAAGAACTTAAAAAAGCCAGTTACGCTACTGGAGGACACTGCCCTCAAATCCCTGTTTTAATCCTTTCACATCTATTGCAACACGTTGAAGGTTTTGAGACTTAATTCTGGTCTTGAATAATGCTGCAGAGAGAAGATGACCTATTTTCGCTGAATAAAAAAAGACCTCCAAATATTATAAGCATTTACACACACAACCCATTACAGAATGCTCCCCCAGCCACAAGTGCTGCAAGGTAATTTGTTTTCATTACAAGAAGCAGATATCTTTAATTAGAAACAGGGAGAAATGAGTGTCCTGCAGTATTTTAACTGATGACAGTTTTTAAACACATCCTCAGTTAAATTCAAAGGACCATTACAGGAAAAAAATATGCACAAAGACTGATCTTGAGATGCAACACAAATACCTATTTTAGCCTTCAGTAACCTGCAACATTAAGAGCTTACGCATATACTCAGTTTTCAGGGTACCTCCTTTGAACCTCAGTTTATTCTACAATACATAAATGGCCAAAACAGTCAGGTCACCACAGAGGCAAGTAACCACTTAAGAAATGACTGCTATGAAATGTTCCCAGTATTCTGTTGGACTGGATACCATCCAGATGTCATAAACAGCCTGAAACTAGAATTCACATGCTAGATGAAAACAAGCCTGAAGAGGTGGCATAGAGGCCACATTTCCCTGATTCTTCTTCCTAGGTCTATACTCATCTTGGCTTCCACAGGAAAGAAGGAGATAAAGTCAGGAGCCCATCCCAGAGCTGAAGCAAGTGGGAACACAACTCAGGCCATTGCCAGTTGCATGGCTTAAAGGAAAAGAGTTGCATCCAAAAAGCACACCTGCTTGCTACTGATCACACAGATTTCAACCAAAGAGATACCATACCCGGGAAGGCTGGCTGACGCAGGGAAAGCATCATGAAATTAGATAAGGAGTGAATCCATGGAACAACAGCTATTCCACACCACTGCACTGCCGACATCTCAACTCACCTTGGAAATGGGTTTCTAGTGCTTTATCAGAATAATTTACAGACATCTCATTTTTGCTTGTTTTTTTCCACACACACACACACACATATATAATAATTACTTTGACAATAGTGATAGATGAGTAAATTTTATGTGATCAAGTCTTTAGGATATGCAGAAGATAAGACTTCCAGAAAAAGGAGGAATCCTTAGACCTACTGGTGTATGCTCCAAATCCTTCACCACCATCCACAGCTTGGAGACTTCTGCAGATAAAGAAACAAATGCACCCCTACTGAGGAAACACACACCCACGTGCACACATGCTGGGCTGGGGGAAGGGAAAGAGGCAGCTAGGAGGGAGGAGGAGGAAAGAAGGCATGTTAAACATCCACCTATCACTTACATAGGAAAGATACAGGTAAGACAGAAGGGACCCAAGCCCAGGTTCTGGTAGGATTTCACAGAGCTTACCTTCACAAAAAGCCTACCCAGCCTGTGCTACAGGAGCAGATGAAAGAGACCTGCAGTGCTGCATTCCTCTCCTTTTCCCATGAATTATTTACTCTCCCCTAGGATCGCTTTGCTGGTTGGAGAGCTGGGAAGTTTACTCAGAGAAGCTCAGAGCTTTCCTCTTCTGCAGTGCTCTGTGGGCAGGAGCAGTCCGCCAGCACCACAGCACGGAGCGGTGGTGTTTGCAGGATTAAGCCCTGCCTCAGGATCATGCTATCACAAGGCAGAAGAGAACCCAAAAGCTATTTCTGGATCTTCAGCTGCTAATGCTGCATCTGCGCTGAAAGAAGGGGAGCTCCGCTTTTAGCTGGGAGGCTCCAATGTAGTTAAAATGGATTTCCTCTCCTATCCTGCTTTTGCCAAGAAGGGCAGAAGATAAAGCCTTCCCTGAACTCCACCATCTTAGTGAGACTGGAAGCCGTGGCAGTAATGGCAAAAGAGGGGAACATGCCCCTCCTGGTTGTATGAGGACAGAGTGTTTCACTTCCCATGTACAAAAATAACAGCACTGAGGACACCGGCTTAATCTTCTGCACCATAATCCTAGGAGCATGGAAAGGTGTGGCAGTGCACAGACAGGAAAACACCTTTGTTTTTTTCCTCACCCTACCAGCGGGGTGGTGACATCCCATGGAAACACATGTGTTATAGACTCCCCACTCCCCATGTACATCAGCTTTCCCAAGCACAAAGAAAAGCAGAGGGATTAGGAAAACCCTCCCATTCACTGAGCTTTTGTTTCTTCTCCTCTACAATATACTGGAATATAAGCATTGCAGAATAATTTGGGGGGTTCTGTAGCTTTTGTTAGAGAGGAGCCAGAGAGAAAGCCCACTTAGTACAGAGCTCTTCAATGTGAACTGGGACAGCAGTACTCACCAGTTTGCCAAATTAAGCACCTTACATATACTACATGTACACGTGTCCTTTTTATGGAAGACCATTTAAAGCAGTTTGTCTCGTAACAGACAGAATACAAAATAAAATGCCTCATTCCCCTCTGTATCACACAAATAAAACTAGAAATATTTCTGAATTTTAAAAGAAAACATATACTGTTATCAACATTTCATTTACAGAAAGATGTTCCTCTCAATGGAAACCGAGGCTTGTTAGAGTTACAAGTTACTCTTCCAATATATGAATATTAAGCATTAGAGCTGCTAATGCACATTTCTCAGTTTAACTAAATCTGCTGAGCCACAGAGCTAATCTTGTAATCCTTACGCCTTGCTTCAGGCAATTACAACTCTGAAGATCCAGGAGGCAAGATGCAAAATGGAACCTCACAGCCTGTCGCAGAGTTCAGAAATAGAAAGCTACAGAAAACACAGCAAAAACACTTACTCCCCAAGCAGCTATGTGTTATGCTCAGTGCTCTTCCAGAGCTTCAGCAGAAGAGACTCTTTTCAGAGCATATGAAAATCCCATGTATTTACAGTTAAAAATCCTGAAGTATCAACAAACTCTTCCACTGACTGAAGAAGAAATTCTTTGTACTTACAAGAAATGTTCCGTAATAAAACCTGGAAACAAACTGTACAAGTAATCACTTTTTCTGCATGTATTTCATGCATAGGAATGTTTTCTGTTATCTGACTTCCACTGTCTGGCTATCAAAGACAAAACTACAGGCTAGCATGACATAAGAGACCAGGAAACAAGAGGCCAAGGTCCTTTCCTTCCTTTCACTACAATGACAAGTAGAATAGCACAGGGACCAGCTCAGAACTCACTGTAAGACATTTTAGTTAAAACAAGAGCTTAGAAAAAAACACACCTGTATAGAAGCACAAACTGAATGACAACTGATTCTCATTAGATCATTAATTCCATAGAAAAATAGCTGTAAACTCCCACCATCAACTGTGCAACGAACAGCTAAAAGCAATCGGTGTCTTTAAAATAAACTCACTTGATCATCACACTTAATGCTGTGTAAAGCTCCTCAGCCTCAGAGCAAGTGCAAACTACCAACCACTGCAAAACCCATCCCTGAGTAGATGGCAATTAACGATCCATTTGCACAACCTCTTAGCTGTAATTGGAGAGTTTTCCTTCAATTTAAGGTAGATTGGCTATAATTAACTTTGCATTTAAAAACTAGCATGTGTGCTATACTACTGATTTAAGGAAGTACTCTTTAACTTATATTCCTCCTACATTTAGAGATCAAGAAAGCATAAGAAATCATAGTAATGCACCTATTGTATTAGTTTAGCTGTCCTGCTCTGGTGAAGGAGGTTATAAGCCAGTCTATTTAAAGCTATGTAGAAATATTATCACAAGCTACAAAAGAAGTAAACCAACCCTGGAAAAAGGGCAGTAGTCTTGCTCAAGAGATAGTGATGTACCATAATCAGAGCTGTAATTTGTTACACTCAGTATTATCTGTAAACACAGTATTATCTGTAAACACCTTAAAGTAAAATTAACATTTTCCCAGGAAAGATGTTCTGATCATGTGCAGCTGTGAAGGCAGCACATCAGCTGTGACTGTATCGTGCTTTCACTCCTTGTCATGTGAAAATGAAACTTTCTCACCTTGCTCATCTTATCGGCCTCGTCAGATGACTCTAAGTCTTGTGCTTCTGCCTCCTCTGGAGCTGTCTCAACAGAGCTGTCCACGTCGCCGGAGTGCCCTGCTGAAATTGAGATGCCTATGAAAACACAACCATAATTTCCAGAAATTCAAAAAGCTGGGTGCAGAAGACACGGAGTTCCCATGGAGGGCCAGGCACCATCCTGCACACAAGTACATGCTAACAAGATGTTATGCCAGAGGCACCCAATGACCTCAAAAGACTACCTCAGTTTACAGCTGGGGCCAGGTTTAACTACAGGTGTAAAAATAAACAGGTTATGACCACACTATTTAGTTAGTAACCATGAAAGCTGATTCAGAGATAAGGCTAAAATGCCACACTGAAATTCTTACACTTAGTATTAATTTCTTGGCTGGCAGTAATTGCCTGCCTTTATACTTCAGCGGTTTCAAATGGAAACTGCAGCATGTGAACAGGCAGGCCGTGCCAAGAAGCAAGTCTTGGGACAGCCCTTTCTCTAAGTTGAATGTGATGGATTTAAAACTGCTTGCATTTTTGGCCTAACACACACACTATCGAGTTTCTATGTTGATATTTAAGGAAATGAACCCTGGTTTAGCAGGTTTTAGGAGTCTGTTACATTAACTGAAAACTAAATTTCATTTCTATCATTGTGTGGCAACAACTATGTAGTCCTATACCTGAGCAGTCTTTTGGAGACTATGTTGTCGATACAGCTAATAACTCCTTTGCTTATTGTAAGTAAATGATGAATTGCCTGCAAGTGATGAAAGAAGTAAACCGAGTGTGAGAGCTCTGTGCACAAATAACTTTTGGGGGGATCTAATTCTCTGACTCAAATACCTGTTAGAAGCAGTATTACTATACCTTAGCCAGTCTTCACAGAAAAACCCACCTGCATCCTGCCACACAAATAGGACAATGAATGTCCCACCAGGGATTACACCTTTTATTTCAGTCCATTTATTCTTCAGGTAATGCAGAAAAGCGTAGCCAGTGGCCAGAAGCATTGAACATAATTCTTGTCTTTATTGGTAGCACATGGCATTTAAACATTTTGGTGGGAAATTGACCCTTTTCTGTAGCAGAACAGATTGTTTTTAAAACAAGTGCTCTTTTTTGTTTGCTAGCCCTACAAATAAAAGCAACCCAACAGCACACTATGATATTGTCAGCACCCAGTGGTCCAGCAGCCATCCCCTCCCATTCACCACTAGGCTGAAACACTGACATTGTAGAAAGATTAACATTGATTTAGTACATCAGATGAAGTACCATTTCTATGATAGTCCCATGCTGACTCTGGTGTTACTTGCTGTTTTTCAATTAAACCTTTCAATTTAGGTAAGTCATGTCTATTTGTCTATAAGGAGCATTTGGCTAGATAGCAATATTGTGAGTGAAAGGCCACAATGATGATAACACACATCTGTTACACTGATAGGTTTCAGTTAAACACTGTGTGGTTGGGCCAAAAGCGCTATAATAGCATGGATGGCCTTTTAAATTCAGATAAAATGGCAAGCTGTTTTAAAATTAGGACATTTTGAAAAAACAAACCCTGATTACAAGCATCCAGTATATTTGTTTATACTGTAATGAAATACATTTTATGATGTATAGAAATGACAGTCTCTAAGAACTATGTTTCCTAAGTGGGCAAGAAAAATTGTGTTTTTCTCAGTCCCTTCACTGGAACTCAAAAGCCACAGCCCTTCTTTCAAAGAGCTTCATGCTAATGCACAATGTTACATCCTAGGTAAGATTCTTTGCCTCAGGACTGAGAGCACAGATCCAGGTCTGGGTTCCTCAGTACCCAGCTTCCAGCTGCTGTTCTTGAAAGCTTTCAGCTACCAAATATAAATTGCACAGTTGTGGAAATACTTCACAATATTTCCACTTTGTTAAGTCCAGAAATAATTTGGAAAAATTGGAATTCAGATATCTAGAAACAAATTCAGATCATATTCTGCATACTGGGATGGAGCTAAACTGGACATCGAATGAAATTAAAAGGACGTTAAGGGTAGTTCACAGCTGAGATTTGGAAGACATGCTTCTCTTCTGAAAAGGTAGGGTTTACACCTTTAAGGGAAATGGACCTGTGAGGTGGTTTGGCAACACAGAATCTATTTGAAAAAGTGTTTTTTTCTGTAAGGAATTAGGTTTTCTGAGCCTTTCCCAGATTTTAACAACTCAGACTATCATCATTCCGGTTTCTCTATTAATGTGTGAAAAAAATTCTTAAAACCCTTAAGCTATCCATTAAAAAGAAGAGAAAAAATATGTGCTATGTGTCGTAATTTGTTTTGGGCAGTATGTGTTTTTTTGCTGCAATTAATTCCCCATTATTAGCCGTGTGAAATACATCTTACAGCTGTTTCTCACCCAGGCCAAGGCAAATAATGTTTGTTTGGGGGTTTTGGCTTTTGCTTTTAAGCTACCACTTTTCCTGTATATTAAAACACCACTTAATCTGTTTCCTGCAGTATAAACGCTTTGCCCAGTAGACAGCAATCTTTCACTTATGCCTTAATGAATAGTCACAGCACATGTGCTCAGGGTATTTCTAATGTCTTAAGCTGCCAAAGCCAATGTTGACTTTAGCAGGTTTATCTGCTGATTGTTAAACTCAGGCCATCAGTTCAATAACGCTGCATGTTCCTGCCTTTTAATACCTTCCACTTACCATCCCATTTCTGTCAGGCTCATTACATCATTTTATTTTTGTCCTGTAAATCTTTATTTAGTTCTGCAAGGAGCCCTGAGGACAATGTGCTCATTTCCTTCTGCAGCACCTGAATGCTGCCCAACCACTACCATTTGCTAGGGATGATAACACATGGGCTTCGCTTGACATTAAGGAAATACAAAGGGAAATCCAAAGAGAAGCAGGAAAAGTGGGTCAAATCCATGTGGCCACCAGCACAGATGGAGGTCACACAAGCTCCCAAGTTGCCTCAGCAGTGTAATATCCATGACATTATGACTAATGCCCATTAAATGACCCCCTACTTATTGCAAGAACTAACAAAATAAAAGGAAGTCTTATATCACTAGAGCAAAGGTGCTCGGTCTTAGAGGCCTGGAGAATCACGTAAAGCTTAAGCACTATGCCAATACTTGGATAAATTTTCCACAGCTGCTGCTTTCAATTTGCAGAGTTGCTGTCGCTCAAGATTTTAATGAGAGTTCAGCAATATCTGGTGGTGCTTTTAAAGCCCGCTTCTGGGTGCCAGATTCTTTTTTTCTTTAATGCAGTGGAAATAAATATTCCTAGCCAAGGCCTGTCAGCTGTGGTGCAAAGCTCAGAAGTGTGCATCCTACTGACACAAAAAGCACCATACAAATCAGAGAACCCCGCCTCGATGCCTTGTTCCCCAGTACATGGAACGGGCAATACTAAATTATGTCCTCTCAGTGACAGCATCAGGGAAGTGCTGGCAAGGTCACCCATCTGCCAGCATGTTATACACTGTGGGCCAGAAGCTACTACAGGCTTCAGTGCTTGACAGCTTTGGTTTGTAACTTCAAGGTGCCTCAACATCCTAAGCAGGTTGGTTTACGCATCTTGGCGCACTACACAACACTTTGCTGTGTGACTGAGGCAGAGCTTTGTGACTCCTGCAGCCAGCCAGCGTCAGGGACTGAGGAGTTCATCCCAGTGTCCTTTCCTGCTTGCCTGCCACCACTTGCTCCCTGCAAAAGGTGCATCGTGCTTTCCTGTACTTCTTTTACCAATGAAAGTCAGCAATACTGGAAGTCAAATACAGCAATTGCTTAACAAGTTTCAGTGGAAAATAAGGAGTGACCCCCATCTGAGCTGAAACCACAGGAGAAATACGGACCAGCAGAAGGTGACTACCCCAGCTGAATCCCAACCAAGACACTGGGGTGTCTGTGCTCCCTAAGGAAGTGCTGCGAAGGTTTTAGTGGTCAAATGCTGTCAGAAACTCATGTTTGACTGTAGCCTTAAAAGAAAAGAATATCATTTACTTGCGCAGTTCAGCAGCAACTTCCTTAAACAGAAAGTGTCATTTCTAAACGCTGCTGGGGAACGACCCCATGATGACAATACAGTACCTTTCAGAAGAGACTCTGCCATTAAACAGAACAATTTTAATAGATATTGCTAAGAAACTGTCTCTCAGATTAAATTTTTATTTGAGACAAAATTTTGCCTCTAAATCCACAATAAAAAGGTAAGTATGCATTTTTTTTTTCTTTTTAGAAGAATTCTGGTTAGCTTTGAAACACTAAACCATGAAAGAAGGAAACATCGCTTTTACACTGGTGTATTCTGTCCCAATGGGAAGTCCCACAGAGTTGATAAGTTCTCCGAGGACCTGTAGAACTGTGCTACAACTATCACAGTTTCAGTCAAGTAAGTTATCAAAGAACAGCATAGGAACAAACTGAGAAACTCTGCCTTTCCTGGAGAGCTACAGAACAAGCCCTATAAATCTCTTCTCCTTTTGAGAGCACTCTGTTGCTTCTCTTTCTATTTCAGCTAGGTAATAAAATTGCACAAATACATAAAAATGTATGGGGAAATGCAGATTCAGTGACACTTTCCCTGTACCAACTGTACTGCAGCCACTTTTCAGCCTGCCCAGGTCGACGGCCTAGTCAGACATTTGTAATATGCTTGAGTAGCCCCTTTGGAATAAACATGAGTTTTCACGGATGTAGAAATGGTGTGCTCAGGGACCTTGGAAACCAGGGACATTGTGATCAGAAAAAACAGGCTTGCTTCTGTAAGTATTGTGCTGCAGGCTTGGGTTTGTGAAACCGGCAGGGGGAGCAGCAACACAGCAAGAATATGAAGATGGGCAGCTAACATGCAAAGGTTCAGAAATCTAAAGCCACAATGCGAAAACTGGCATCCTAATAGCCCCCTTGCTTATTTCAGCAACAGATCTGTCAGTCTTTGGAAAAGCCAGGAAGTATCGAATTGTGGAATGGCTTGGGTTGGAAAGGACCTTAAGATTATCCAGTTCCAACCTCCCTGCCATGGGCAGGTTCATCTCACACTAGACCATGTTGCCCAAGGCTCTGTCCAACCTGGCCTTGAACATTGCCAGGGATGGAGCATTTACCACTTATTTGGGCAACCTGTGCCAGCGCCTCACCACCCTCACAGTAAAGAATTTCTTCCTTGTATCTAACCTAATCTTCCTTATATCTAACCTAATGAGAGCTCTGAACACAATTCTGATTGAAGCAACATCCTTGAACCTTGTCTTTTAAGCTCTTAGAAATAGATTTTGTGAACAACAGTTCTGTGTGTCTCTAATTATATGCAATATCCCTAGATTGCTGCTGGAGTATATGCCCCTGGAATTGTTAAATCAAGCACTGAATGATGACAATATCTTCTAACATGCTACAAAAGGCATTAAATTAGTCATCTGCCTCAGGAAAATAACCCTAAAGAAATTAAGGTTACAGTAAATCTCAGCTTCTTCTGAAATCGAAATTACTTAGCCTTAGGGGACCTGTGACAGGATGAGAATAGAATGAAAAATAGTGGCCATTCTTATAGTACAATGGAAGTTTGTTTCCATTTTATACCATAGTCTTGAGATTTCAGCCTCTGGTTCTCCTGCTTTCTGAATAGACTCCTCAAAAATACCGAACTGCTTCATATCTGGGAGGTTAATACAGCCATTCAAACTAGAGGCATACTTTCTGTTTATACATTTTTTATACATTCCTCCCAGTGATTTATACGGCTGGCAGTTACACCTGAAGAGTTACCTCTTGCACTAGAGGTCTATGAACTACAGGAGCATGCAAAGCCTGACTCTCAGAAACTCTACCCCAGAGTAAGAAAAAAGGTAGTGAAATGTGGGGAAACCACAAACATGGACAGTACTTCCATTCCCAAATTCCCTTCTAATAACAAAGCATCTTCTTTATGATTTTTGAGCCATGTAACACTGTGTTTCCAGCTTTCAGCCTTTCATTCCCTGGACTGAGTGGAGCAAAATGGGGAGAGTAAACACTCCTCATGGGGAAAGGAGACAGCTCTCACCGATCCTTCTAGGCAGTAAGGAAAACATGCTGCAAGGCTCTAGACAGAATGAGAGCTAGTCTTCAACCGGATTTATACAGACTGTGTTAGCAGGAGAGAAGACTGAAAGCCAGGAAAACAATAATAGATGAAAGAAACAAAACCTGTGGCTCTGCGAGCTTGATGTAGCATTAATTCCTAAGGGAAAGTATTTGTCATACCCAAGATGCTATTTTTTCACATCAATTAGAGATATAAAATCCAAGGTCATTTCAAGAATAACCTTTTAAATAAACACGATGAAGTAACTACTGCCACTGACCTGATTTGCAGCTCTAGCCCCTACCTCAGTATATATAAGGTACTTCCAGATGATGAAACAGCTGTAAGAGACATTGTGCTTAATGGGAGCACTGGCAGTCACTTCAGGGAGGTCGACTCTCAGAAACACAGCCCCTCTTTGCCCCTGGAAAACCTCCCACTGAGTAATAAGGCATAAAAAAAGCTTCCTTAAGAAAAACGGAACACAACATCTTTCTGTTGAAAACACAGAATATGAATTCCTTGCACAAAAAACCTACCCTTTGCTGCCTTCACAGCCAATGATGAATTGCTAGTGAAGAAGATAATGATAGGGCATCAGCATGATCAGTCAAACAGACCCTGAATTTATGGAGAATGGACATGCCCACAGGTGATTTATACCTGCTGGCATTCTGGCCCAGCAATGTTTCATTATGCTGAAAGGAGGGCCACGCTACTTCAGGACTAAGGAAAAAAGCTGCATGCTATAAATAAAGCATACAACAGGAATCACTGAGCTGATTTGCCTAGCCAGCCAAACTGCCAGTAATCAGCAAGGACACAAATAAACGGGTCAGTGGGTATTTCATACTTGACTGCTCTCTACAAGAAGCTGTAGAGCTGAAATCAAAAATCTAAAATACAGTCACAATGTCCCAAATAAAAGCACATACTTTTTTTCAAAATCCCATGTGCATGCCAATTTAGGTAACAAATCCCTGAAAAAAAGCACAGGGCCAGAAAAAAGGGTTCAGTAAAGCACATAAACAGAGAGAAATTGATGGGGAATATCAAAACACCTGCCTCCCAAATGCACACTTGGGTGCATATCCTTGTTTTCACTCCAGCCCCAGGCTAAGTCATCCCAAATTAGAGCATCAGCATTATTTAGCTTTAAATACCATCTTAACGTCATTCTTCAGAGGCATATTTCATATAGCAACTACAGGTGCTTTCAGAAGCTCACAGACACCTGCTGATGAGCTATGGTGTTGCTTCTGTTGGCTAAAGAAGTATTCTTTCCCCTTTGAGGATGAATGAAGGCGATTCCCACCTCAATGTTTGCTAAGCTTTGAAGGAAAGCAAATGTCAAGAGTGCTCTAGCTTCCCTGCTGCCTGTCACCTGAGAGAGTGAAGGAGGTGACTACAGCCCACCACAAGGAAGCTCTACTGAGAGAAATCTGAAGGGAAAAGGGAGCCCCAAAGCTTAGCCCCAGTCCTGGGGATTTAAGTCCTGGGGATTTTATTTCTTTATTTAAGAAGGAGGCACTTTGGCCCACCACACAGTTCACGTGCTCTCTGCAGCACATGGAAGAACAAGCAGCCGTTCCACATCACTGTGATAACCACAAAAAGTCAGCTCTGGAGAAGCTAACAAAGGAGGCTAGACATGACTTGACTTGAGAGCAGCACAAAGGAAGCTGTGTCTACAAAGCAGCAGAAGCAGGAGGTCTGATTCTGCCATGACGTATCTATCAGGCACATCCTATGTCTTCATTTCACAGGGGGCACACAGGTTTATTACTGGACACCGTTAAAAGGCAAATGCTATGCTCTTCGGACACATTTTGCAAACTGTGCACTATCTCACCTTCAGCAAGGAAAAGGACCCCTTGAAGACCCTGAAAATACTGATGCAGAGAACTGACAGTGTCAGAGAAACTGCATGTTGAGACCAGCTGTTGAGACCCTGTGTTACAAAATGTGATTGCTCTGCCTTACAGATTACTGTGTTTCCTAAATACAAAAGTCCCTGTTCCCAATTCTTTGCGCCCAGGACAGACATGCATTTCAGTGAGAAGTCAGAGTGCAAGGACTCAGCGTTCAGGGTTTCAGCAAACAAGCACCGGCAAGGACAAAAGGATGGATCCACGAAGAGCTGGTGTTAAATAGGAAATGGGGGCATCTTGTGGCCAGCTAAAAAATGTACAAGATGAGCTTGACTTTAGCACAAAAGCCTAACAGGAAAAGTTCAATGAAAATTAAAAGGGGGAAAGTGCTTCTGAAAATGTTCCATTTTAGCTGCCTTTGGGGGTTTATCCCGCATCTTACATGAGGTTGCTTTTATCAGTCCCCACAGAGGTATTTGCAGTAAGCTGGTTTTAAGCTTTCTTGTTTACGCTATTCCACTTGTTATGAATATCACACTCCCCAAAGTCAGGCTAGGAGTCAAGCTTTCCCTTTCCTTACTACATGTTCCCATCACATGAACAGTGGCATGTTGCTACATAACTTTCAGTTAACATTTTAAGCAAAACAAGAGCAGCATCCAGATATGTTGAAAGGCAGGCTGTACCTTCCTGACCCTCTCTAGGCAAACATGAGTCAGCTTGGTCCTGAGCCCAAGCAAACTGTCTTTCACTGTGGTTCATTTACTCCAGCTCAGCATCATGCTGAGCATGCTGCTCCTGGGTTAGCTCCAGTTTGCACCCAGTCTCATCCCAGAAGCCCCTATACTGAGTGATTGCAGCAGAGAGACATGGCCTGGGAGAAGGCTGACTTTCCCACCAGTGAAATGGATTAACAGCCCTGCACCTACTCCAGCTTTTTATTCCAAATGTGCGAAACAAAACCATCTCATAGTTGTCAAAAAACAATTATTTTGACATTTCTGAAACCTTTACTCTGGGGAGAAAATAAAGTATTTCGACATATTCAAATGCCATTTACTTTTGCATGACAGTCAAAATTTACCTTAGCTCAGAATACTTCTGATTATCTAGAAACTATTTCTTTTCGGCCATTCCATTCATTTTTCTTGCATTTTAAATTATTAAAAAAAAAAAAAAAAAAAAAAGCAAGTAGGTATGTCCAGTATCCTCTTCTGTTTGCAAGTACAGGGCAGCATTTAGAAGCTGACAAGTAAGACCTGAGTAAGCAGGCAAGTAAGAGGAGACATGGTATAGAATCTTTCCTGTCTTACAGAGGTGATGACTAGCAACCACCAAGGTGACATCCTGCTCTTCTGCAGCCATTTCTCTTATCCCAGCACGGGTGCTTGTCCTCAGCTGGTTTAGGAAGCTAAACTAGTGGGAAACAATTCCTGTTTGCTAAGGATTAATTTTCTGCCAGTTCAGTTCTCTGAACAGGGAAGCATAGTGGGCAAGAATACCCCTTGCCACCAGAGTGTGCTGTGGGACCAGTTAGGTCCTTTGGCTGTAATGTCAGTCCCTACCTTTAGGTGTTTTGCACTGTCCTTGTGAGTTATTTATGCATGTCATCAAACACAAAGGTAGCCTGTGCTCCTGGCTAATTCCAGAGAGGATAATGGCTTGTTCCCTCCTCCTTCCCTGCCATACATATATCCTGTGGGCAAATCCAGAGGTAAAGGCACCTCCTGAGCAGTCCAGAAGCAATTAGTTCCACGACTTGCTGTAGGCACAGCTAGATGGTGTGTGACATGCATCTGGTGATGACACACATTTCACAGCCTAACCGTGTAAGCAGTCATCCTTCACTGCTATCGCAGATTACACCTTCCACCTTCCAGAGCTTCTGTGTATTAACCTGCCCAGTGCATTCAGACTGTAATCCCGCTCATTTATACCATGGAATATACCACAGGGATCAGTGGGATTACACCAGCGCACTGTAAACATGTATCTTCCTCCTGGTAATTTCTACATTGAACCCAGTACCTTGGTTGCTCCCAGCAAATGCCAGTGTGCTGTCACTCAAGTCAGATGGGTTTTCCAAGCGATGTGGTGGTGGCTGCGTTAGTTTCTGCCCCTCCTCTATCTCAGGATAGGTGCGCACAGTAAGACAGAGTGAAGTCTGAACAAGGGCATCTTTCAGCAAAGCTGAGTCCAGATCCTCAGCAGCTTTCTTGTTAATCTCCACAATTTCATCACCAGCTTTCAGGCCTGCAACATGGAAAGGAACAGGTAAGACTTGCACAGTAAGGTTTCTCTTAGCTGCAGATATCAAGGAGCTCAGCCAGGCATTTATGAAGTACCAGACAGTGTCACATCTAGCCGTAAAGTAAACATTAATGAATACAAATTATATGGAACTTTGATAGACTTTTGCGAGATCTGTTGTCAGGCTGATACTGTACCCCAATAGTTTGGTGCCCAGGAAATCCCTCACAACATGCCAGCAGCAAGATATCTCCCTTTTCATTTCAATATATAAATATAATCTGAAGGACAGAGTAAGGCTTCTTAAGGTGATGCACACAGGACAGGGAAAGGATGGAGCAGCTTAGACAGGGTGTATGGTGTAGGATGTCAGATAGCCTCCTCTCTGGCCCTGCCTGAATCATGCCCTAGCACACAGATCTTCAAAAGGCATATTTTAGCGCTTGGTAAGTTAGTTGTTGTATTTTTTCCAACGTGATTTCAGGAGTTATTTATAGCATCAGTGCTCAAGGGAAAAGGGGATCTGCAGAGGAAACAGCTGACTCCCACTTGCTTCAGGGGCAACACCGCCATGCCGAGAGGTGACATGCAGCCCTCTGAGGTACCACAGGAAACTCGACCTTCCCCTCAGCCAGCTGGGCCTGCTCTCCAACTAACAACAGCAAGCTGGGCCAGGGTTTATCCCAAATAATCTTTAGGGCTAGGCAGGCAGCAGTGCGGCAGGGCACATCGGTGCCGACAGCCACAGTCACTAGAGTGGCTGCTGCAGCTCTTGTCTCCACTTGAGAGTGATGCTGGTAGTCCCTGACATGCATACCCCCAGGAGCACCTCCTGTTGCACCTCCAATGGGAACATACTACAGTGGTCACCAACCCACCAACAGGAATGGCATCCCAGTCACTGTCCTGGCATTTACAGAGATGAAGGCTGGAATTTACAGGATTGAAAGAGCTGATCTGTGTGGGTGACCTGTCCTGGTGCCATGCAGCCCTCTGGCTGGGCAATCATGCGAAGGATGAGTCTTGCTATCTTTAAAGCCTGGATGAAAGGCCTGATTTGATGGGTCTGAGCTACAAACAGAGCTCAGCTGTATCCTCCAGGAAACAGATTATCTATCCTCAGGTTGGACACGGCTTTGAGCAACCTGGTCTAGTGGAAGGTGTCCCTGCCCGTAGAAGGGGGTTGGAGCTAGATGGTCTTTAAGGTCCCTTCCAACCCAAGCCATTCTATGATTCTAGAAAGAACTGTAGAAGAGAGCAGGCTTAAGAGCCTCATTCTTCTTTAGGTAAATTGAGATCTTTCTTAAATGCATGTAATTGTGCCCATAAACTGTAGTGTGGCGTGCTGTTCCAGAGAGAATAATACGAACTAGATAGAATAACTACAAAGTAAATGGACTGTAAAATCGTATTTGAAACAAGGACAAAACAAGGCAAGTCAAGCATTTCACATTATTTCATTTATTCTACTTAGTGATGCCGTGTCATAATGGTAGTACATTAATATGCCTGAAACCATAAACATCATATCTGGGGCTTCATTTACTCATTGTAATCCTCAGTTTGATCATTTGGGATAAAGCATTGTGTCTATCTCATACAAGCAAGCCCCTCAAATTCCAACAATGGTCTAGCTAATGCAGACCAACAGAAAAAATAAAAAAACAAATAATAAAAAATATTAGGAGAAAATAAAATCAAAGTTTTCTAATTGGACAAAAAAAAAAAGAGAAATACTATAACTCATCTGATTAGACTTACAATAGGAGATGCAGTCAAAAGCAAACATGCATGTAAGTAATAGGAGGAAGAGAATTTTCCTCCCTGCTTTTAGCTAACTCTGGCTATCTTGTCACAATATTCTTCCAAGTACTGTTCATACAGAAGTGGCTTTTCATGTAAGTTATGAAGAGTAATGTATCACTGAAAGCATGTTTTAGCATTTCAGCCCTACAGGAGGCAGTCTGTGTTCACATATTCATTTAAGCTGTTGCTCAAACATTAACTAAAAGCATAACAAGGAAACCCTGCTGAAACCCCCTTAGCTTCACCATCTCATTCTCTCTGCTCCCCACAGAAATATATAAGGTTTTATTTCCTTATGGCAGGCTGGCAGAAATCTGTCCCCCCAGCCCCTATTCAGGGCTTTTTGCAGAACATCCATTCTGTTAGCCAGGGAATCATATGGGGCTGAAGTAGGTGAGGAGGGCCAGGAAAGAGAAATATGGTCTTTTCAGGCTTAATAGAAATACACAGCAGCCTCCAGAACCACCCACATGGTTTTCCTAAGTTAGGATTAGAGAGTACAGCTGTGTGAAACCCCGGGCTCCCTACAGCCAGAACTGTTTCTCCATCCCCTGCCCCTGCTTCTTTCTTCCCAGTTTCTAGCTGTGCAGTCTGTCCCTCCACTGTGCCACTTCTGCCGCTCATTTCTCTGCAACCCAAACTCCATTTGCTAGTGGGTCAGAAAACCAGCCACGTATGTCTGCCATGGCAGGTTTCTATCAGGACAGTGAGCTGAATTGGCTCAGCAGAGTGCTGAAATCAGCACAAGACAAAGGGCTCAAGCAGTTTGGGGGATACTAGTCCCCATTCCTTTCAGTAACAGCTAACTGTTGAATAAGCTCTGCAAGACACGTAGCCCCTCACCAAGAAAACTCTGAAGGTGTTTCTGAGGACTCTGTGTACATTGGTTATAAAGGTTATGAAGAGATGAGAATATTTTCACACTTCACACTCCCCATGTTATACTTCGGGATTTAGACAGGTTTCAGCTGTCTAGCTCTCTGACCAGCACATCCCATGACTGCACAAGCAGCAGTACTGCCACATCAGAAAGGGCAATGAATGGGAAAAGCAGGAAGGGCACAGCAGTGTCAGGGTTGACCTTAGCCTGGGTAAGCTGCAGTTAAACCATATCCTGTTCTGCCTTGGGACGAGCCCGGCAGCCTCGTTATCTCTACCAGTTTCTGGTCCAAGTGCTGTCATGCTTCCTGCAAAGGCTGGAAGCAAAACTAGAGGCAGTAATCCCAGCCAGAGAGAACACCATGATGACCTCCACTGTACCCATTTATCTTGCAGTGACTGACTTGAGAGGGCCCCTGCTCCCCTGCCTAGCTGCAAGGGGCATGCTGACCTTGGTACATACATAGCAATTCAAAATTAGGAGGTTAACTATATAGCAAAGCTGATCCCAAGAGCAGAACAGCCATGTATTTGGTACCTAAGGTTGTTCCCAAAAGACCCTGGTTCCTTTTGGACTGGCACCCTGGTTTAGTGTGTTTGCAAAGCTCCTATCTCAACAAGCTCATGGTCTATATCAGAATTAAACAAACAGTAACAAAACCATTTATAAAGTATTTTACCTTTCTTGAAAGCTAAGCCTGTCTCTTTGACACTGTTCACATACAGCCGACGAATCCCTTCTTCTTCCACAGAGGACAGAGAGAAACCTAAGGAGATACCCAGCAAAATGGTTAGAAAAAGCCAATCACTTCCAGTGTGTCCTAACAACTGCACACACCACAGGTAAAGCTGTGCTGTCCACACACTGAGCAGTTAGGAATTAGCCCTTTCTCCTTTCCCTTGAACCTTTACAAAGGTAAAGTTACAAAATGAAGGTGGCTTTAACAAAAAACATGAACTGAATTTCATAGTTTATATATAAGTCATCTAGAGCTTTATTTGAGGATATCACAGCTGCGAAACATTGGAACAGACTTCAACTGTTCTTGCCACAAAAGGTCACTTCAAAAAGTTTTGCTGTTCGCAGACAAAAGCTGCACAGAGTGTGGGTTTTGACCCTAACCAACAAAAGCCAGGAAGTGAAGAGCTATGGCTGACATGACATCCTGAACTCAGACAAGGCGTAACAGCTCCTGCTAAAGCAGGATGACAACTTTTACTTTTGCAAATTACTGGACTGGACAACTTTGTAAAAATGCCACTTTCCCTTTTTCCCTTTCTTTTCATAGCTGTTCCTGGCACAACCTGTTATTTGCCAAGTCTCAGCTCAGTACACCCTTCATAGCTATGTTAGAGACCCACAGAATAGCCTTATAATGCAAGTACTGACACAGCCTTAATTCAAATGGTGCAAATGGTACTGTTACATTTGGTTTTGGTGATTTCCTTGCCATTTGTGTTTGACACGGTGTAAGATAACAGTGGTAAAGGAAATACAATGTGGTTAAATACAGTTTGTTTATGTTAAGAGTTATCTAAAACAGAACATTTGCCTTTCTGAAACTTCATTACTCCCTAAGTGGGTCTAGGCAACCATTTGCTCTCTCTTTTTCCAGCTAGGAAAACATTTACAAACATCTGGGGGGGAGATGCTTGTTTGACATGGATTCAGCCACAACCCAAGAGGTGTGGATGTGCTGGGAGCCTGTTCTGACTTTAGGACTCCCTTCAGCTTGATGCTTATAGATGAGAAGCTATTTTTTCACCCATCATTTAAAAGAAGAAAAAGGAAAAAAAAAGAATAATAAAAAAAAAAGGAGGAGGAAGAACGTGGCAGCCGAGAAGCAAGGAGCATATGGTCCTTCATGACTTACTGAGCTACTTGGAATCTCTGTGTGAGCTCCTCAGCCTGAACAAAATGGAACTTGTGAAGCTCACTCAACACACCAACTTTGGCACAGAGAAAAGCTCTCGACTAAACACAAGAGCAGTTGTAAAATGTAGTAGTGATTCGTTTGTCATCACCACAAAGCCTACCTGGAAAACCCTTAACCAGAAGCACAGTGGAACATGCCCAGCACTACAGTTTGAGTCAGCAAAAGTTGTTATTAATACCATGACCCTTTTTGCAGCTGAAACGCTGTTTTGCAGCAAATTACCATACAGTTCAAATAAGGTTGAATTGAATCTCAAGTTTTCACTGTGGCCAACTGGAGAGACCAGCACACCTTAGCAGTCCCAAGCTCCCATGCTCCTCCATGAGAAGGCCTCTGTCTCCTCCAGTCTGTCAGGGCTAAGAGCATATGTAGCTGCTTTTTAATTTATTTTTCAGTCACAAAAAGAAAACATAAATCCTGAGCAGTAATCACTGGCAGAATGGGTGTAAGGAGCAATTACACATGTCATCAGCTTTAAGAGATGAGATATGGGCAGCTGACAACAGCCTTGAAATGGTCATCTCACAAATACGCTTAACCACTCCACAGTGTATGTGACCATACCCCAAGCATGGATAAACTGTTTGATTTCTACAGTTGTGATAGCAGCTGGATCTCATAAACAATTGGAAGCAGTATGCCTATCTCACTGCAGTGCCATTGCCAGTGCTTTCACTGCCATGCAGTAAAGCAGAGCAGGGAACTCATCCAAATGAGAAATACTTCACTCAGCTGTGTGTGTATATATATGTATTTAGTTTATATAGACAAATGTATAGTGTGAATATTCATTTTCCATCTGGCTGAATTCCGCAGGTGCTCCACGCAAACACGTGTACAAGCACGGCATGAGAGGAAGGGCAGGAGTGGGTGGAAGCGACAGCGATTGCATAAGCTGGCATCACTGCCAGAAAGATTATCATCAAACTGTGCATGGACTCTGAAACACAGGTGTGAAGAGACGGATGGTGACCCAGACAAAGCCTCTGCTTCACTGCAAAGTTTTGATGACAGGAGAACAAACATTTGCACCTATGAGTGCACGTGGCCTCACTGAACCAGCACAGTACATGAACAAATCTGCCTCCATAAAATTACCTCAGCCTCCTGTGACAGACATTTGCTAACAAAAATGCCAGCAACCTTCCAGTACATACAGGAGCTGGAAATTGGTGCGTCCCGATTTCTGCCCACACAATCTTTGTAAAGAGGCTGGTACCCATGAAAAAGGCAGGACTGTATGTGTCCAGGAATCAGCAACAGCATCACAGTGACACATCGAATGCTGGCAAGGTCCAACACGCTGGCCAGACACTCCAGGAGCGCCTCTTACCATGGACATACTGATGGGAATAGAAACACTAGGAAATGTTCCCAGATGAGCTTTCCCTGAAACACTCTGCTTCATCCTGTTTAGATAACTTGCACTCATGGTGCACTCAGGCATGATGGCAAAGCTGCTCCACAGGCCTGATAATGCCTGAAGGAGCAGCTCTACCCATCCCTGACACCAGGATCTCTTAGCTGGCCCAAAACAGCTTGCCAAGCCAGCAGATTCACATCTATTGTCTATCAGGCTAGTGAGTTGAACTGACCTGTCTTAATTGTACCTTCAGTAAAATCATTTAACCTCCCTATCTTTGATACTGTCTGTTAAATGAAGATAATAGCACAAAGTCTACATTGTTGGAATTAACTAATAGCTGCTTGTAAAGTATCTTGAAAATTCAAGGTGACTTACAAGTATTATTATTGCTATAGCTGGAATACTAGCAACAGCAACAGGTAATGCCGCTAATAACTTTCTAAATCTCATCCATTTTCAAAATGAAGACTTTTCTAGTTCTGGGAATTTTGATATGTTTTTAAACAGAAGAAGTATGAGAAGGCTTGAACAAAAAAAAAATCTCAAATAATCATCAGAACAAAACATCCCTTAGTGCCCTAGACATCTGTTGCAGTACCAGGTCCTGACTTCTTGCTGAAGTGCTTGTGAGGGGCTGAGACCCAAGCACTGCCCAACTGATGAACCAATCTCAAAGGCAGCCCTGTTCACGCAAAAACTCATGCAGGTGCTTAGATGTTTGGAAACTGTGTGGTCACATTATTGATTTAGGTCTTTTCAAAACAAAACCAGTAGCAAAAACCCTTAAGGAACCCTGTTAAAAAGAACCTATGCTGAAACTTTAAAGCTCTGATCTTTGTATTGCCATAGCTTGTGAATGTGCTGTCACTTTCTCTCTGGATTGTAAAAGTACATATTGGCAATACTAATTCTGTAAAGAGACTAAAAGAACTAATAACTCGAGTGACCCTAATATACAGGATGGAAAAGGATCTCAGAAGGAACCCTAGCCTTCCTTAGCACCAAGACAGGATCAATACTTTACCTCTGCTCCTTCACACACATGTATTTCAGCACACACTTGTCACTGTATAAATCCATAGTATCATTTCTATGGTATTATAGAAATTATGCTGCCATTCAGAGTCAAAGTAAGTTTTGCCTTTTTTTTAATCAATGAGAGGAAAGCCAGCTTTTTTGGGGTGCATTTAGCATTCACTCCCTCCAGGGTCAAGGCCACTGAACAGATGTCTCACACAGATGATCTTGTTTCACAGGACATGACAGTGCATTTCATGGTCTTTCCTATGTATTACTTAAAAAAAAAAAGACAAGAGAAAGAGAAGGAAATGCCACCATACCCCTAACTCCTACAGTGTTTTCAGGCACAGCATAATTACTGAAGCTAGGGCCATCACAGTGCTAGTTAATACTTCTTTCTTAGGCCTGCAATATTCAAACCAGTCAGTACCACTGCTTTGTAGCAGAGCTCAATATTCCAATGGCCTGCAGCTGTATAATAAGCAGTTTGGGGATTCCAAATTATTCTAGTCATTAAAACAGAATATTTAGATAAACAGTAAAAAGATGCAGACTGGCTTCCTGCAGGGTAGGTTGCACAAATAACTTTAAAGTACGCTACAGAACTGTAATTGGCAGACCAAAGAGCAAACTCACCAGGCTGGAAGTCTGTAACTTGAAATACTTGAAAGCTAAGAAATATGTCCATCCACACATAAAGATTAGGGATTTTGCTGCAATTACACAGGGAGGACTTCCTCTGCTTTGTGTTTTATGCACAGGTTTGTACAGCATGTCAGGTTCTGGCTCCAGGAGTCCATGGGGCATCCTTGAGGGCCGGGTATTCACTGGGGCCCGAGTCACCTGGCCTCAGGAACATTGAGGCAAGACAGGGGCAAGACTTTGTGCACCCCTGGCAGGTGGGGAAAGGGGACAAGCAACCTCTCCTGGGACAGCTGCCCATCTGCAGACCTTGAGATGCCTCCTACCCACAGCAATGCTCCTGGCTGCACCTCTGCTATCATGCTTGGTGGAAGGAGTAAGGAGGGGGAAAGCCTTCTAGCTTGCTAGCAGTGGCAAGCCACAGAGCAGCCCTCTCCCAAACCCCACTGCAAGGCCACCATGAATGGCACAGTGCAGGCATTCATGTAGGATGTGACAGCTGGCAAAGGATGCTGTTTTCCACAAGTGCTCAGTTGCACCGCCTCTGTAGGTGGTGTTTTGAGAAACTGCAAGAACAAGAAAACAGTTGTCCTTTCTGCCACCGCAGCTCCCATCAAAGAGATGCACATCCTACAGCTCAAGTAGCAGGAAGAACAGCGTTCAGTGCACTACAAATAAAGCTGTCCTGCTTCAGGGCAGGGGAGCAAGCTTTCTGTGGCACAGGCATCAGATGTGCTTTTCTTATTGTGTTCAACAGACCTCACAGGTGTATCAGTAATAGCAAGAACCTGCCCACAGTAGAAATGACTTGCTAGAAAAATAAAAACAAATCAAGGAGAAACTCACCATAAATATCAGAGGATGCATCAGACTTCTCTATTTGAATGTGCTGTGTAATTTTCTGACAGATTTCTATTTCTTTGTACAGCTGAGTAGAAAAAAACAAAGCGAAACACAAAAATGTTACTGTGGGAGGAAACATCAAGTGTAGTAATTTTGAACAGATTTTTTTTTTAATTACAAGCAGCAGAAATGGCCTGCGATCATTATTTATCACACAGTTTTTCTCCACATGTGTGAGATGGATTAGTAGTGTCAGTAAGCTTTAATGTTAGAACAGTTAAAGAGGAAGCAGCAGTGTTTTACTACCACTGTCGTAAAAGCAAGGATACATCTATTTCATTCGGTCAATACCATTTTGATTGCACAAGAAACAGACCTCCTATTCCTGTTTTCAAATATTATGGGTAGTAATCATCTAACACTTTTAGATTATTTTGATTAATACATTGCAGGAATTCAATTTTTCAATAGTATTAAAATCTCAAGGAGGGATTTTCTTTCTTAAACACATTTCTTAATTGTTAGAACACTATCAGATGTGATATGCAGCTCTTTCTTAGCATGAAATTTCACCTTTAACACATTTATGTTTATTTGAATAGAGAAAAGCCCCAGAAGTCTTTGAAATGGTCATTAACATCCTTCCTGGGAGACCAGCACAAATTTACACCTAGGTAATAACCCAGAAGCCTACACACACAAGTGGAATTTACTCTGCCTTCCAGGAGTGAAGGACCCCTCAGCAGGGAAATCCTGCTTTTCCAGACTAAGTCAGATATTTAGAGACACTGAACTAACATTCTGGGGAGTCAGCCCTGACTTATTCCTCATAAGACAGCATTGACACGCTGGAAACCCCTGGCTCATTACAAGATTGAAGCTGGTTTTTCCATATCGCAGGCTAGCGCTGAAGTAACAAACCATCCTTTTGTCTTTGGAAAAAAATCATACCCATAGGTGAATGAAAGCCCACATGTAAATATTAATTTTGTTTACATGCTGGTACGAATGTGTAAAAAAGCAATTCACAATAATTAACATTTTGAAATAAGTGACATCCGTGTTCGGACTGAAGTATTTAAAGCATTTCTTTAAGAGAGTAACTCATCAGTAGTTTCCTTATAAAAACAGAATTTTATCTCCTGCATATATCAACACTTACATATCTGTTTAACTGCAAATACTAAGTATTACAGAACAGCTAAATACCCATTTAAAGGGTTGTATATAGTAAAATAAAATGCAAAATTAAATAAGGATGCCATGCTAGCAATATTTTTAAAATGCAGTTTTCAAATATAGGAATGTATTGTTCAGAACCTGAAAAAAAAGGTCAAATGATATTTACAGAGATCTCAGTATGATTTTGGCACGGGTTTCAAAAAAGAGAAGAAAGAAAAAAAGGAGCAAAAATACCAGTATTTTCAAAAGAAAACTTGTGTCTGATCCCTGTGGTCAACTAAACTGAGCATGCAGGACCAGAAGCAAGGAGGACAGCTGACAAGCTCTCACAGGAGCCACTTCTTACCTGCATACCCAAAGCACTCTTCTCAAGCAAAAACCTCTCTTGAATGGGAGGCAAATAACTGGAGTGCAGAGACTGCTGCTGAGCTGCTGAAACCAGAGGGCCAGTCTGACAGCCCTTTCTGTGCCCCATAGACCCTCTGTGCCCACACCAAAGGCAGGTAGCATATCTGGGATATGGTGGCTCACACCATGAAGCTGCCAGCCTCTTGGGCACCATGGGCAGGTGGGGGAAACCCCTTTCAAACCTGCCATGGGACCCTGGGCTCTGCACTGAGATGATTGATAGTGATAGCACAGCAATTATTTCAGGGGTTCTGCTATGTACTGGGGAGTGCCCAAGGACAGGATTTCTTCCTGACAGCAACAGCATTGCCCCTCCAGTCTGACACAGTCCTTCATAGTGTTTCTTACAGCAGCTCTGGGATAGTAGTAAGTAGTATTGGGGTTTTGTTGGATTTGGGGGCTTTTCCCCTCAAAATTTTCTCTTCCTTGCCCTTTTTTCCTCTACCATTTTTGGTCTTGTCCCAGCACCCTGTCCCAGGGACACCTTTTCCAGCATCCCCAGTGCCTTCAACCCAGCCTCATCCTAACTGCCAGATTTTGAGGGAGGTCTTCCATTTCCTGCTTCCATCTGAAAGTGCCATCCTACCCAAAGGGAAAAGTCTGGCATGTCAAGCTTCAGCCAAAACACTCCAATACTTAGATTACAATAAAAGTTGCTTAAAAGTGTAACTGCCTGGTACAGAACCTAATATTAAATAATATTTCCTGAACCCTTAGTAACTTTTTTAACACATATACTGAGCTTGTGAATTTTTGAAAGACTGTCAGGACACAAATATCACCATTAATATTTTGGAGAGGAATGGAATATGGATATTTAATCTCTATTTCTTACTTAAATATGTCTGATACATTCTGCAAGAAAAAGGAGTATCTTCCTAAGAAATTACTTTTCTACAGTAATGTATATCTCTAAAAGCATTTTAAAAGGTGGAAGACAGCGCTAGCAAGGTGACATCGGCATGAGACAATATTATGAACAGGAGACTACAAAAGTAGAGGCATTAGTTTTATCATATTGCACCAGAATCATTTAATTAAATACTTAAGCAAAGTCACTCGAATTTGCTCATGAAACAAGTACACACACACACACAAACATATAAATATGTGCTGTTTTAATGTTACTACATCAGATACAGCCCTGGAGCACCTATCTATATTAGAATCTCAAAGCAGGTACAGAGTCCCACTGACAGTGGAGTTTTGGTTTAATACCATTTTTTCAGGAAAAGCTGTACCTGATGACTCTCTCAATCCTACCTCCTCTCAACATAAGTCACCAAAGTCCTCCCATGCAATGAAAGCTAAAATCTGTCTCCTCTTCAGTTTTTATTTCCCCAACTACATTTCACTTCCCAGTCTCAGTGCTCCAGCAGTTAGCACTTTCTCACCTTTTTTTTTGATGACAGTGTTAATGGCAAATCCCAGAACTTCTTTACAAAATGAACAAAAGTATCCATAACCGGCAATGTTTACTTTTTATACATAAAACAGCCACCTATGAAAAGGACTTTAAAAAGCTTTACAGTGTGCGTGTGTAGAATTATAGCCTTAAAGCATGACACTAATTCTGTCTGGTTGCTGGGTTGTTTTTTTTTAATCTCTCATTTCAAAATTCCTTTGAAGTCTGTTTTTTGAGATGAATGATATACAAACATCCAACTGAAGCAATTGGGAAAGTCTCTTTTCAACATCTGACTCCAGAGCTTTTTAACCTCAACGTTTTGTCTTCCCATTGAGGAAAACAAAACCAACTGACAACAAAAAAAAAAACCACCAAACCCAACACCCAAACAAACAACAAGAAAACCCCAACTTCTTGGGCACTCGCCCCCCTCTTCAAAAATCAGGCAAAGTGATCTGAACAAGAAATGCTCAGGCCTCAATGGTATGTCTTTAAAACCATCAAGGACAATGTGAACAACAGGAAAAGGCAACCTTGAGAGAATTTAAGCTTAAATGCATGTTACAGTGACTTTCACATATTACCTGTGGCTGTTCTTCCTCTCCCTTCTCCAGGCAGACACATGCATGCACAAACGTAAGCTAGACACCAACTCTCTCCTCAAGATGAAATGTTTGGAGAGATTACTTTACTGTAGGCCAATTTGCTATGGGCTGCAAAGCACTATAACTTCAAGTTTAAAAGCATAGCTTTGTGAATTACAAATGTCAGATAACCACTAATTAATACTGTCCTACCAAGTGTCATTTCATTTTGCTCAGTAGGTAGCATTACCAGTTCATAGATATCCTCTTCTGGCTTTGGTACATAAAATTGGATCTGGTTTTCAATCAGGAATTTAAGACGCAAGTAGTGAGCAGAGTAATCCAGCTGGTGCGTCTGCAAGAAATGGAGAACAGGCTTTAGAAGAGAAAAGCAATGGCTCACATCATCTATACTTAGAGAACAGCCTGACACTCAGGAAGGAAAATACCCCACGCTGTCTTTCACAAAAGGCCCCTAACCTGAACAAAAATTTGAACCTCATCTTCTTTCCCAGGAATAAGTGTTCATTTAACCACTGTCCAGGGTGTCAAGGGCAATGCTGGTACTCTAAGCAGTCTCCTTGGTTCTGCTTATCTGGCAGTTCCACTCCCTTCCATGCTATTGCAGAAATAAGTAAACACTATTATTGCAGAAGATTTGGAACATACCTTTGTATACAAAGGGCATTTAAAATTGCAAGGAGGACAATAAATGCTCTGCTAACAGAGAAATATGTAACTGGAAAGTTTTGGGGTTTGGGTTTTTTAGCATCTTCATAATTAACTAAGTATGATGGTTGGTAAATTTCAAGCAGGGTTAATATATATATATATATATATATAAAAATAAAATCTGTATGTCCTCTAAATTCAAAACAGACTTTGTAAGGCTAAAAGAAGCCAAGAGCTGCATCCTGGATTACATCCCAGTGGAAACAGGTCACATCATTTTAATGAATTAGTTATAATTAGCTGAGGATGCGGCATTTGGTCTGGGAGATGTTAATGACCTTTTCTCAGCACGACTAATAAGCTTGATTTAAGCAGAGGTTAATGCAGTGTGTAATCAAAACACATTAGAATTATGATAAACACAAAGGATGTCATTCAGAAGTTATTTTCAAAACTTCATAAACTGTTGACTAAAGCTGGTTAAAAGCCCCAAAGTGATTCACAAATACAGGAGGTAAATTCTCCTCACTGTCAGTTCTGGAATTCTATTATTGTATGCTTTTATTATTATTATATGCCTTTTCATTTTATCTGAGCAAATTACCACAGTTTCCTAGGTGGCACTTAAAAACAGTGGCTCATCTGAAAATTCATGCAAGAATGTCATTATTGCCCATCTATTGTGTTTTTTAAAGCCTTGATTATCCAGTTCAAACCAAGAGGATGATACACCGGCAGTCAGCTGACTGATCACACAGCAGAGATGATGAGTAATGTACACTTTGTGACCTGTAGAAAAGATCACACACTGACCTAGCAAACCCTTCAGCAAATACTCAGAGAACAGCGAACAAATTTGAAAGGCTAGATTTGCCCATGAATAAAAAAGAGCTATGGATAAGAAGGAAAAAATGAGACAGATATATTGCTACACTCCATGAAGTGCTACGTTCAAATACGTCCAAGTCAAAGACCAAATTACCCTTATTTGAAATGCAGTATGTGAAATGGAATAACCTCCATAATCTGGACAAATACCTAGTTAATTAAATAAAGAATTTGAAACCCATCAAGAGACAAAATAAGAGCTGAATGATCCTTGTTCTCTCCCCTTTTTTTCCCTTTTGATAAGCATTCTGTATGCTTTGGTCATTGTTCAGTTTTCACTAGTTTCCTCTTTCACATGGGCACATGTACAAACACCCCAGAAATTGAAGGGAAGCAGAGCTGGCTTTAATGATTCAGAAACTATACAGAGGAATCCTAGATGAGTTTCTGGTCACATTAGTTTACTATCCCTAGACACAAACTGAAGAGTGCCTTGCACACCAGTTAAACAGAAACATACAGAGGAGGCATAAACCCATGGACTGCACCACAGCCCATGTCTAGAGGGAGGTCTGTGATAAGTCTCTCTGAAAGTTCATGAAATTCTTGAGCCATTTACAGCAAAGCCAGTGGGGGAAAATACATATGTGGAAAAACTATGCTAGCAGAAAAAGGAGCCAGGCAATCTGGCAGCCTCCTCCTGACATCGTGGTGTACCCTCTCATAGTCTCCTGTGCTGAAGCTATGAATGCATGAAATGCAACACCAATGGCCACACGGATCAGCCAGGTCTATGCTGACAGGGTACATGTCAGCTGAAGCCCAGAGTTGGGAGAGAGACCCCAGCCACAGTCAGGTATTTGTGTCACTTCAAACAGTGACTCCAAACACCCTCCCCTTGCAGAGCAGACCCAAAGGGATGCTTTCCAACCTGCCCCAGGCCAGCAGAGAATCACAGCCTGTTGCAGAGGGACACTAATATATCCAGTCTGGAGCCTCCAGCCACAGAGCACAGACTAGAAGCTGTCTTAGCCACACTGACAGGGCCGGGAGCCTTGCTCAGCCACCCCAGGCTCCCAATGGGGTCAGGAGATCCCACTAGCAGGGCTTGGGCACCCCATCACTGCCAGTTCAGAGGCACCCATTGCCCTGGGGCAGGGGCAGGGTGTGCTCACACCAGCCTGCAACCTGCTCTGCAGGCTGAACCTTGATAGCATCTTAAAAGAGCAGCCTTCCCGTAAGGGGTGGCTTGATCTGCCACCCCAGTGGTCAATGACAGGGCTTCTGCCTGCTTTGATATGAGCAGTGCATCAGGTGTGGAGGTGACTGCTGGCACCTCCATGTTCACACCTGTCCTTGCAGGGAGATTTGCTTACCAGAAAATCATGTTTGCTGGCCATTTTAGAGAGCAAGAGAAGATAAACACAGGATGACCAATGCTGTACTGATGCCTTGAACTATGTCAGAGCACAGCATTGTCTGAAGAGGTCACTGGATAAAGCTCACATATATTTTAAGGTACTTATTTCTTCCAGGAAACATCATCAACCAAGGCGGATGCCATTCATTCACTACACTGCAATCCCATCCAAGTCAGGCAATAAGAGTCATCATCGTTAAAGCCGTGGTGGTACAGCAGCTGAGCCACACCATTTAGTTAATTAACATTCGTATAGCTGCAGCAAGGCTTTGACTACCTCAAAATTTTACATTAGTTAAACTGTTTCAAATAGGGGTGTGATTTTCCAGTGAAGTGGAAGGAAAAGGCCCTCTTAAAGTGAACATAGCCGGTTTGCCCTAAAAGCCATACCATTAACCCACTTTTTCTGTTGCTGGTCTAGCTACATCCAGATGTGGGAAGGTGGGAGCAGAAACAAGGCAGCTTTAATGATACTAATATCCTTTCGAGACCACCCAAAATACCTTTTAGCAGTCCAAATAAGCTTCTTGGTTTATTTATTTCTCTCCTAATAACTCTGTCTATGTCTGGACTAAATTAAGCAGCTAACCCAATTTAAAGCACAACCTGACAGTTCCTGAAGAAGAATTTATAGCCTGGGGTGTGATCCGATTCAACAGGCTCTGCGTGGTGTAGCGGGTCAGCACACAACCCAAACTATTAATCCATTTTGTCTCCCTTCTAGTGAAGTGAAGGAAAAACATATTCTTTCAGCTTGGTGGGGGAGGCCTTCATTGGCACTGAAATGAGAGCATCCTGGAAACATGCTAGCCATCCCACCATATTACTCCAGCTTCACACTTGTGTGTGTGGCCCAAACCTTTTCAGTAGGAAAACACCAGCTCAAAATCAGAGCATCAGGCTTAAGTAACTTCTCAAGAGACTTAGGTCCAGAGACCAGGGGAAATCTGCTTCTTGCCCCTCGTGCAGGTCTATTTGAAAAATGTGAATTGTGAGCTGGTGTTTTGTTCACTTCTCGTGTTTTATGCAGTTCAGTCAAAAGACTAAATGCCACATAGTCTTCTATGCTTGATTTTTGGTGTTATTCTCTCTATACTGGGTCTGCCTAAGCCCATATACAGTGTGTGTGTTTCTACTCAATTTTAAGACAGAGTTATGTAAATATTAGTAACCATATGCACACATTCACAATGATCAGTGTTATCCATAGGGAACAGTTTAATGCACATACACTGATCTTCCTACCTTCCAAGTGATGTTCTGGCTTTCCTACCTTCAAAGTAATGTTATTAAATCTTAGGAGAAATCTTTAAGAAACCACTTTAAAATACGTTTTAAACTCTCCTCCCACCAATGTTGAATCATAAGTGTCACAAAACAGCCTCCAAAATCTAACTCACTGTATAACAAGTAGCAATGTTAGTATAAGAACACATTTTATATAATGACTTGAGTGCACTTAATGTTCTCCAAAAGTATAATGAAGCTCAGTTTAATAGCACATATAGATTTAACCACATGTACAAACATGAAGAGGGTTATATGAAATGTAATCTTGAAATGTTTACTGTACCAGAACTTGACTGGTTCTCAGATGGCAGATGGCAAACTGATGTGAAATGGTGTGGATCAGATATTAAAGGGGAAAAAATAAGCTGAATTCAAGAGACAGAAGAAAGAGATTGATTATTAAATGCTACAAGAAAGAAGGCATCCATCAGTGTTTTCCAGACTGAAAATTTACAGAAAGGAAAGAAACGGATAGCTCTTTAAAAAGCCACGCACCCACCTCCCCTTCTCCTTATACACCACCACCCCCAACAATGAAACACACAGCGAGAGACCAGATTCTCAGCAGGCACATACTGAAACCAGTGGAGCTACACCAATTTACTCCAGCTAAGGATCTGGCCCACTGAGTTAATCACTCTTACCCAAAGGAAAATATAAATCCTAAAATACATCATTACTAATTATGTGTCATCCAGCTTCCCTATTATGTCTCTCTCCAAAAATGTCATCTTTTCCTGAATACAATGAAGAGCTTTCGCAAGCTGCAGCACTCTTTAATGGTGCAACTTGCAGAGAGATGAGCGTGCTGTATAATTATTGGAAACAAATGCCTTTCTCTCACCTTCCCTCTGTTTTGAAGCACATGCAACATGTTCTGAAAGTCCTCAAAGTTAAGCTTTTAATAGTAATAAATGTTTTCTTTCCTTTTGCTGTTGTTGTTGTACAAAAGAGGACTCACTTTTCAGAACAGCACGTGACAGGAGTTGGGACTCGCTTGCAGTCAGCCGGTTAGCAGAAAACATACATTATGCAGCTGCCAGAACTGAAAGCTTGTATTTAATTTGTCAAACTTTCAACTTTTCTGCTGAGATATAACTCTTTTAATGACCAAATGTCTCTGATACTTCATCTTGCAAAGAAATCCAGGTGTTTTTTCTCCCACTCCCCCCAAACCTCAGATAAAAGCTTTCCTCTCTCTTCCCTCCTGCCACCTACACCTACACAAGGTGAGTCTGACTCCGCAGTGCAGACGGCAAACACAGGCATCTTCTCCTACTCCTGGAGCTGCTGTTTTCTCCATGTATTCCTACCCCACGCCAGCCAGAGGGGAGGAAGCAGCATGGGGATAGGAAGGAGGAACCGTACCTGGAAATGGGACAACTTGGCACCTGGAAAGGATGAGATCACCCTGCTTGCCTGGCAGAGGAGGGAGCAGGCATGGAAGAGCTTGGCAGAGGTGTGGGAACCAGGGTGGTCAGGCAAGGACAGGGCAACTGCACTACCATGCTCTGGGGTGGCCAATGAAAAGAAGAGGGCTAAGGGCCAGGATGCTGGGGAGCAGGAGAAAGGTCCTGCACACAGCTTGGTCTCCAGTGGAGAGAAAGTGGGTGGGTGGCAGCAAAGTCAGGGTGTAAAAACACAGCAGCCAAAGTGGAAAAGGCAAAAACTAGTCTGGCTTCCTCTCCCTAGAAGCATGCCAAGATTAGTCCAGCTGTAGCTTGCATTTGTCTTGCATGGTGCTAGCATGAAAATTTCAGTGTAACTCATGTTTTTCATCTAACATACAACTGATTTTCCAACACAGTGCAGTCTCAGCACTGGCATATGAGAAGATCACTGTGAGGTTCAACTGAAAGGGCTGAGGGTTGTAGACCCTTCACACGGCTTCAGGGCATGCTTATAGCCTTTACCTTGCAAATCATTTCCAGCACATCTCGTGTGGTGTCCCCAGGACGGATGACTGTTAGAACAGGCTGGTTGTTCGGCAGGCAAAACCAAGACGGCGTGAAATACTCATGAACCCAAATATCACAGTCGGGATTGTGCTGGTGGACGCTGCTCAGTGCCACTTCTTTTTCTCTCTAAACAGACAAAATTCGTTATGACAATACAATCTCCTTTTTCATCAATAACAAGTGTAAGGAACATTATATGCTGTATCAAAAAAGCTGTCTTATGGAGAAGACATTTTATTCATAAGCCTAGACTGAAGGCTTGTCTGGGCAGGAAAGTTTGCAGCTTTACCTGAGCAGTATAAAGTGTGCCTTCCCATGCTACCCACACAGCTACAGTGGTTTATGTGCTTTTCCTGGGATTTCACCCTATGGCTGTTGGAAACTAGGAATGCAACAAAAAATAACAGTGATAAAAAGAGATTTAAAATTAAAACTTCAATGCACTGTGTTTCTGGGTAAACCAATCCAAAGCCAACAAAACTGTTGTAGATACTACAGTTCCTGTATCTATAAATGGCAAAATAGCAAATCTTAATATTTCTTCTGAATTTACTGCCTTTTACACAGCTAAGGTGCATTCCAAGCTATAAATCTCCAGGAAGTGATGGAACTGCAGAATCTCGATTAGCTGCAAGTGGGCTCACGCAGCTAAACCCATATTCACTACATGAAAAATGTGCCCCTTAGCACTGTCTTAACGCTGTTTTATAGCTTTGGGGAAAGTGAAAACAGTTGTAATTGTAGCTGCAAAAGCAGAAGCGCATGAGAAGAAAACAGAAAGCTTCACTTCATAGTTGTGCCAACCCTTGATTATGAAAACCCCATATGGCCACCACAAGGAGCTGTTTTCCAGAACCAGTGAGTCCAGGTCCTCCAGCATTTCCCTGGTGTGCAGAGCTAACACCCCTCTGGGTCTGGCACCTCCAGCTGCGATGCCACACAGTGAGCCCTTTTGAGCATGGGCCACCAGCTCAAACCTTCCCAGAGTGGCTACAAGCACTACAGCAGGTAGGGCTTGTAGGGTCCTCTCCTCTCCCAGAGGCTCTGCATGCCTTCTTGCATCCCAGAGTCAATGCTGCATTTAGGCTGGCTGCAAATGGGGGTGAGGGAGACAGCTGGAGAGCTGGTGTTTTACCTTGCCGTCCGGGACTGTATCGTCAAAGATGCCTTCAAGGGATTTCTTTACTGAATCAACTCCTTCACCAAACACCTGAGGAACAACAGAAAGACTGCTTTAAAACATGAAACTTGAACATCTGCACCATCTGCAGCACACGCTAAGGGAAGAACACGGTATCTAACATCTAGCATGAAAATCAAAACATAGAAAAGAAGAATACCAGCTTGTTAAAAGGGAAAGGGGAGTGAAGGATAAGCTGGTGATGGGGCACCATGCTGAAAGACTGGAGGCCAGTTCTCTTAGTGGTCTGTCACTGACTTACGTGGTGGAGCAGGACAAACTTTATCTCCATTTGTACTCAGTTTCTCCACTTATAATGTGGGGGAAATGAGCACTTCTCCACCTCTGCTAAGGCTGAGAAATCAGAAAAAGGGCTCCACTTCTGGCTGGTTTTGTAATAAATCAGCTTCTAAAATGTCCTCAGCAAACATTCAAGTACCGCAAGTCAGCATAACCCTTCTCTAATAAAAATAAGAGTTGGTAACCCAGCACAAGCCAGAGCCAAAATCAATAGGACTCCATACAGGAGGAACGACAGGATGGGAATATTCACAGGATCCACCCCAGCTCAGCACAGGACTGCAGAGGACAGGCCAAGAGGCTTGTTACTGCAACAGAGATTATAATTAAAACTGAAGAAGTTTTATAGCTCCACATCAGGACAGCTTTATTACCAAGTTGCTGCGTTTGGCTGTTAACTATTCTGTACCTAACATGAAGCAGGAACTTTGCAGGATGGGAGAAGGACGCTGCTGTTCAGGGATTTACAGTTTACTGACTCAAATTGGCAACACTTTTCACACTACTACACACGAGCAGGGAAAATAGGTTCAGGCACTACAGTTTGCTACTTTGTCAAAACTTTACTTTTTCTTTGACTCTCTCCAGTATGACTTTTTCTTAACCTGGAACAAGATCCCTTTTGATGCCAGTGCTTATTGAGTGAGGATGACAAGGGTGGGGGAAGAGGAAGGAAGTGTGAAGAATGCATTTATCCCCACTGAAAGAAAAAAAGAATGAATTCAGGGAAAAAGAAAACAGGTCTGAAGACACAGTGTGGGCAGGATCTTAGGTCAGGACAAGGGATTGAGCTTGATTTGGGGAAAGAAAGTACAAAGCAACAGGGATACCATGGAACCAGCGCAAAGAATTAGGAATGTGCTCACAGAGGCATCTGTTGCTTCCCTGCAAAACCCTGAGCTTTTGATCAGCCACTAAATATTAGGTGAACTTTTACTGTCTCACTGAAAACAAGCTGAACAATTTTGCAGCATTCATCCTCTGATAAACAAAACAAACACCCACTGCTCCTCTAACAGAAGGAAGAAAAACATCACAGGGCACAGAACAACATGTGTCCCAGTCTTTCTCCCCTCAAAAAGTGAAAGAAGAGAAAGAAAATAAATGCCTACATTTCCTGCAATTAGATGAGGTATGGCTCTCAAAAGCTGAAAGCTATAATTAGGGATGTTTGGAGAGAATAACAGGGAAGCACCTTCCCACCACACTGAAACACATTTTCTAGAGAAGTATCTGGGCAAGACTGGGTGGAAACATTTCAGCTTTTGCTCTTTAAAAAATCTGAAGCAAAACAGGGACTGTCCTGACTAAATGCAAAGCTTTTTTTCACTTTAGGAAGTTTTCCCAAACTCTGCTACGTGTATGTTTGTATTCTACAAACTCATCATTTTAATTTAAAGAAACAAAAACATATGCACTTTTTTTTTTGCTTCCAAAGTTGTATCTGTTTTACACTACTGCTTTGTTGTTTCTGGGTTTAGGGAAAGTACCTGAGAAAACGAAGAGGCAGCAGAAATGCAGCAACAGTAGAAATGCAACCAATTCAACCAAAGAAGGTGTGAACACCAAACCTTTGATGGGAGGCACTGTATACCTATCTGTAACTACAGTCACTGATTTTTGAAGAGGATGTGAAATGAGATGACTATACACCATGAAAGATTAAACAAGCAAGGTTAAGGCTCGATATGTAAGTGCTTGATGCAAGTGACTCTGCGTAAGCTTCATTCTGCATGATATAGAATAAGCCTTGAACAATCCAGTATCACAGACTTCTGCACACTTACCTGATTAATGCTTGGCCTCCCTTGCTTTTTTTTCGAGGTGGTATCCAGCCCCCAAAGAGAAGAAAACCTGCTTCTTCTTTTACTGGCAGACCTGGACATGGCCTGTGTCCTTCTCCTCACTCCGGACTCCCCTGTGCGAGCCGCCACCTGTCAATGCCACATGGTTTTAGAATCAAAGGTTGCAGCATCCCACTGCACCATGGCTTACATAACGTAACAAACAGTGGAATCTGGCTTGGAAAAAGAAAAAGGCAAGTACTATGGCAGCAATGTGTACCCACAACAGGGACAGTGGTGATGCTGCCAGGCTACTTCCTCCTCACTGCAATTTAGCTCACTTCCTCCAACTTCAAACACCAAAAATTAGAACACACAGTACCACCCCTCCACCCCCCATTTTCTGGCATTTAATCTGAGATATTTTGAAGCATCACAAATCAAAGCCTCAGCACCAGTAAGGAGTTTGGGGTTTGGTTTTTGTTTTATTTTTCTTTTTTCTTTTTCTTTCCTAACATATTTTCAAAGCTGGCCACATGAAACTTGAGACTTCCACATTTATCTGTTGCTTCTGAAAACCTTGGTCTTTCTTTTTTCTCTTTCCTGGGGAAGCACTCTGAGCATCCAGGAACTGACTCATAACTGCTACAAGGCAAGATAAAGGCTTGCAAATAGGTCAAGGTATTTAAAACCTGTACTTCCTTAAAGATAGTAACATTTGAAGGGGTGAGCAAAGCGCAGGAAGGAAAAAAGTGAGCTGAAATGACCCGTTTGATTAGAGCAATGTTAACTGCTTGGGTACTTGAAAAATGGCCTGTGGCAACCCCTCTGGAGGGAAAAGATATTTGCCTTTACTAAGACCAAGTATTTGGGGAGTGTTTTCCAAGTGAGGAAGCTCTTGTAAAAATTAGTGCAACATTAGTCAGAGGTGAAGTGTTTAGGCCAAAGTTTAAGCAGATTTCTCATGTGGAGGTGGCCTCAGAAGAGCGAGCTCCTCTCTTGCGACAAAGGGAGAGGCAGGAGATGGCAGGTATGAATGGGAGCGCAAGGCAAAGCTAGACAGAGAGACAGACCGACCCACCCTGCCACTTGGCCATATGCTTCCTGGAACACCTTTGTACTGGATTCCCACAGCCGAAACTGGCAAAATGTGACTGTCGTTTGGCAACCCCAGTGGGAACACCCAAATCTCTGAGTGACGCCCTAAGCTACAGAGCTGAGAAACTGGTTGTTTGGGTGCAGCAGACACAAAAGCCCATATAAAGACAAGACAAACAGAAGGCTGGCTTGTGTACCCAGAGAAATGGTGCTGTGTGAGTAATGGTGATTCTCCTTAGGAGCCATGGAGAAATCAAGCAAAAGGAGAACTTAAACACTACTGCAGGTGTCTCAGTTTCCACAGCCTGGACTTGTGAGATGTTTCTTAGATGAACCTGGGACGTTTAGCAGAGGCAGCTGAGAGACTTTGCACATCTGCTGACTAATGTACTGGCAAACACCTTTGTGAGAGCTAGGGGTGCCACGCTTCACCATGCAGCACCCAGCTCAAGTTTGAGACTCACTGCACCATCTCCACGTGATTGAGGGCAAAGGAGGACGCGAGAGTTTGCTTAAAAAAGAAGAAAGCACGTGTCTTTTCAAACACAACATATTCAAAACATATTTTTTTTCACTTGGCTCTCAAGAGACACCAGCATGAAGAGGCAGACTGTTTTTCAAACTCAGTGCTTTTCTAGATGCAAAAAAATAAGCATAAATGCAAATTAGAGCCCGCCACTTAAAAAAATACATAAATCCACCAGCAATTATCAGGATGATGAAGTTAATCTTTTCATATATGAAAGAATAAAAACGCCCCTGTCTGATTACAGCTCTTGATTCAATTGAAGGGTACAGCTGACATCCACAAGACAAGAAGTGAAGCTCAGCTATTTCTGTGAAGTTCCAGGAGTCCAAGCTGAAACTGCAGGAACTTGATTTAAATTTATTAAAAACACCACCACTTTGCCATAATTTCCCTGTATTTTTAAGAGCTGGGTAGTTATTTTAATTTAAACAACCATTTGAAGCATTATTTGCCATGCCACAAGTAGCAGAGAAGAATGGTTCCCCTCCCTTGTGGAGTATCAGGTGTTGATCACTGTAGACCGGATATTAGACTAATTGGTAAGTAGTTTTATCCATATGGTAGAAAACAAGCCATGCTCAAAAAGGTCTAAGCCAACATGTGCTGAGGGGCTCGGAAGGACTCACATTGACTTGACAGGACTTTTGGATCAAGCCCATGTACACGAACATTAGAGATGAACCTGCTCTTGTAACAGGAAGACCTGTTTATAGACAGCATGTTTAGAGTGCAGATTTAGAAATTCAAAATCACATGTTTAGGAGAAACATGGTTCTTTCATTTCTGTAAGGCCATGGATCTGCTTTTTAATCTATACCCAGGACACACACCCCTTTCAGGAAGTACAATATTTTGCACACTAAGGTAAGGGCTCACCCTCCAGGCACAGACTGCTGTTTGTCGACGTGATCTCTGAATTGGACACGTGAAGGGATTTGCAGGTTGGCAAATCCAACCCCTGGCCTCTGTTCAAACTTACCAGCGCATGAAAAGATGAGACTGAAAAGATTCCAAGACGGCCCATTGCAACTTTCGTTGGACGGCTGGCAAAAGCAAGCAACCTTTTAGGGTTTGGGAGCTCCCCTCCTTGGAGACTAGCCAAGTAACAGCGGTACCGAAATAGGTCCATCTGGAACTGTTCAAGGTTTTGTTCCCAAACGAAGATCTGTGCACAGTGAAGATAGAGGAGCAAGATGCATGGGAAGAGAAGGGGAAAGGAAGAAAAATAAGGTGGTAAATACCTTGACAAAATTCTGCTGTTCCCAGTAACACACCTTTTTCATCAATGCTCAAAAAAAACAACTTGATTCCCCTTTCTTCCCATTCTCCCTTACCTCCCAAGCCCAAAAAGTATACAAATAATTAAACAGTTTTCATTAGATGGAAAACAACTTTTTTATGTTCATATCAGAAGTCTTCTCCTGGGACAAGTGCTCCTTTGATACAATGCTAATTAATAGGATTCAAATTTTATTTTCATTTTCGAGTTCCAGGATTCTTTTCTAAGCAGTATCTTATAAGGCTTCTTACACGAATCAAGGGCATCTGAGAAAACCATCACCAAATTCCATATACAGAGCACCCCAAATCAGCAGCTGCAGCAGCAATGTAGCTGCGAGCATCAGTGGAGTGCGCCATACTTGGAAAAGTGTAGTACACTGGGGATAATTAATCTTATCAGCGGAAGAGCACTATAATCAGCCTCTGTAAGGATTTCTTTAAATAATTCAAATTGCCGACAGGAAACAGTTTCAAAGCATTTAGAAAAACTCAGTTACATAAAGACAGAGACTGCTCTGCCCTCTCACTGTGAGTGACAGCCTTGGAGTGGAGCCCTTTCAACAGAGGCAAGCATCTCTCCCCTCCCTTCCCCCTTCTCATGGGCTTCTAGAGTGTACAAACTCTCTTTAGCTTGGTGTGCTAAGGCCCCAGCCGCTCCCTATGGTTTGCATTACAGGCGTGCTTGGCAGCCGTGGTAAAAGAGCTACAAACTAATGAAGCAGGAGCCATATGGAAGTTTCCTAAAATAAGGTGCTGCTGCAGCAGCAGGAGAGACATCTGCTCCAGGCTCTCTGCTTCTGAAACACAACTACGTTGCCCACTTGAAGTCAGAAGGAGTGGTCCTGAGGCTGCAGCCATGAGGTCAAGGCAGGCCCCTGTAACAAGGGATAGCTTCTACATCCCATCTGCCAGCGGAAGAATCAGCCTCTTCCATGCTTCGGACAATAGTAGCAGCAGCATGTGTCAGTCTATGATGAGCTCTTCCCTAAGGCATCCTGCTGCCATGGCCTGGCTGCCTCTTTGCTCCTCTGAAGCCCACGCTCAACTTCCAGTGGCTAGCCAAATCCCTTGTGTGGAGCCAGGAGAAGACAGGCCATGCTGTACCTTAGCACACATCGTTTGGAGAAACAATGCAATCAGAGCAGCTGGCACAGCTCTGCTGCCAACACATCCCACCTGCTCTGGAGAGCTCTGTCAGCACACACACACCGCACAGGGATGCAGACAGAGGCAACACTAATCTGGAGAAGGCCTTAAATATTTGCTAGGGGCTTATTTCACGTAAGCAAGTGAGATTACTTGATCCAGTATGGTCTTCTTCTTCTTGGAGTCCGTTACTGAGGACAGCTGCATTTCACCCATTTTCTTCATCTTTTCATCCATATCAATCTTCTGCTCCAGCTTTTTAATCTCTGTTTTCAGGAGCTTGACGGTGTCCTCTTTGTGATGCTGCCGTGCCACTGCGGTTGCACAGGCTGAATGGATCGCCGTGATCCAGTTCTCCAGTTCAGTCTGGCTAGAGGTCTGAAGAGAGGGAAAGAGAGGGAAAGGATGTCAGGATCCTCTTTTAAATTGACTGGAGATTAACAAATGCAATTCCAAGGAGTTTCCTTTCCCTTTGATCTTAAGATTCGAAGCCTTAAATCCACTTACAAGAGAAGTAATAAAACCCCCATCATTCTTAAGCAGGCCATTTTTAACTCAGCATTAGGCATTCAGCACTTGGAATTACACCTATATCTGTGCTTTGCAGCTGTACAGTGTTTCCCAACAAGGTCTCAAGAATTACCTTCCTTGCACAATGCAATGCTGCCATAATTTGTAGCTCAGTATTTAATGGTGTTTTCTATACTCGCAGTTCCTTAAGGCAGGGAATGTATTGTGCTCTTGACATGGAGAGCTTTTTTGGCATTCAACACTTAGTAATAAGTTAATGGCATAAAACGTGACCATCATACCTATAAGTAGCTTTATTATGATGTATAGACAAACAAGATTTCCACTTCTGAGGGTCTCAGAGCACTCTGAAGACACCCCTGTTATCATTAAAGGAAAGCTCATCATAATTTTCATGGCTCTGGTACCGGCCCTCCACATGCAGGTGTGTGACAGCTCAGGAAAAGGCAACATTTCCCCTCCCTGGAAGTGTTCAAGGCCAGATTGGATGAGGCTTTGAGCTACAAATATCCCTGCCAGTGGCAAGGGGGGTGGAATTAGATAATCTTTAAAGTCCCTTCCAACCCAAACCATTCTGTGATTCTACAATTCTGTGATCCTATAAGGTATCAGGCTTGGGCATGGGACACCAGCACATTTTCCTGGAAAAGCACTATTCTAATCAGAGGCTTTTGACCCAGAAAGAAAAGTATTTCAAAGCATTCCTTTTCCAGACTTTCAAAATGAAAAGTAAATCTTATTAGACTTCTTACTAGACTTCACTCCTTTTTACAATCGATTGTAAAACAAAATTTACAGCCAACTCATGGTTTCAGCAGACTTTGTCTGAGTGTCAGCCTTTAGCAGTAATCACACTGATATTTGGCTTGTGACTGAAAAAGTAGCAAAGTGCCAAACCACCTTGTTCTAATTAAACTTTCTGATGATACCTGATCTATTAATAGACAAGCACAGTATGACTTCTCCAGTTGCTAGCACAGATGAAGAAGGTCATCCCCACTGCTCTCCTGATGGTAACAACAGCAAAGGACACAGTTTACTGAAGGCAAGGAGAGATTCCCACAGATCCCCAGCTGTGGAAGTCACATATGCACAGGCTGGACTTTAGGCTTATGCTCCCAAAACTTCTGTGGTACTGAAGCAGGTGAAACACTCATGTCCCGAACAACATTACTTTCCTTAGCTCAGGTTAGAAGTCTTAAACAGAAGACAGGGTCTACAGTGGAAAGGCCAATCTCTTACTACCAATTTTCTTGATCAGACTCCCTGCCCAGGTAATAATATTAACAAGCTCTCATTCATAGATAGTGGCTTACAGTGTCTTACAGCCACTGCTGAAGATATGTTGAGCCCCCCCTTGCTGATGAATTACTGCTGAAAACAGAAACTATTTGCAGAACGGGAGACACTTTGCCTAGAGTCAGGTGGTGAAACCTTGTCCCCAGTAGAGAGTAGCACTAGACTTATAATGAGATGGTATGTTTTGTTAATTCCTAGTAAAATCATAACAGCAAGAGGTAATGCTTTATATTATTCAATTTTAGAATATTATCAATATCCCATTGGACTTGGTTTTCTTTTTGGTCTCCTGGGGAGGGGAAAAAAGGTATCTGGAATAGATTTTAAGGCTGAAGACTCTTTCAGTAAATGAGTAGGCAAGGGAATCACGCCACTTCTCCACGTAAGAAAGGATCACGTAAACAAGCTGCAAACACCTGACAGATAAGTACGTGGTGTCACAAGTTGCTCTGAGCTCCTAGAAAATACATGTGACATGCAAGTAATGGATGCGTGTAGGCACGATAAGAACTGACTGAGCAACAAATCATTGTGTAGGATGTATGTGATGTCTCTAGGTGCAATGCAGTGGGAAGGCTTGTTACAAGATATCCAGTATCTGTACTCATTACAATGCAACTCTATTTTTCTCCCTAAGTTCACAGTCTCCATAGGAGAGGAACAGTCTTCTGCAGGTCTGCGGTTTCTTCTTATCAAACCTCTACTACAGCACTGTGTTATGTGTGCACGGATGTGCATGACATGAACAGTTAAGTAACACAACTGAGCAGTCATACACGTGTCAGCTGCTCTGAGTGCAGTAGAGCAAGCCCTACAGCACAGTCACTTGCCCATTACTTCTACCACTGCAGCTGGTCTCCTTCCCTTCTCCCCAAACTCATCCCTTATTTCTCTTCTGCTTCACTAGCAATGCATGGGTTCTGTGGCTGAAGGGACACATCAACAAAAAATTTCTACAAGACAATATAAATGATATTTTTTTCATTTGAAAAGGCTCATTTTGCTTTTCCCAAAAAATCTATATGTGAATCTACCCACAGCATAATGGCACAGAGCTTTTAATGAATAAGGCCCTATGTTGCCACAAAAGAAACGTATCGAATGTGACCTTTTCAGTATTTAACACCCACTGGCATTAATTTTATGAGAATGAAGGCTTTCCCTTAGAAAACTGCATGGAGAAGATTTTACAACTCATATCAGTAAGTATCAAGAGGAGGTGGTGCTCCACAATCTTTCAAGCACATGCTGGGACTACAGGCACCACACTTACCTCCTGGATGAAGCTCACCAGGTGGCAAAATACATGTACCCTGTCAAGCAAAGGCATGAAGTAGAAAAGGGCAGTCCAGTATTACACTATGAGCTGAGGAGGACAAATCAGACTGAGGTGGCAGAGTAGCTAGTCCACAAAAAAATAATTCTTTTTTTCAGTATGCAAATAGATACTTGGTCTCTTCAAGATGAGAGCCAGCACCACTTCCTTCCAGTTAGTAAGGCTTTTCTGTTTTGAACTGGTTTGAGAATCTAGTCCCATTCTAGTGGAATGGCAACCTAAAAATCACTCAGGGAAGCAGCAGTTACTAAAATACAGAAATCTTTTTCAGTGAAACGCATCAACTAAGGTATGGTCTTTGATATAAGTACCCTGTGAAATTCAGACATTTCTATTTTCTGATTAATAAAACTAAACATGCAGTCATGTTCAGTTTTCAGTCTCCTCTCTGGCAACAGAAAAATGTTGATTAAGGCCTGTATGAACAATGGGGAACTGAATTCTGCAGCACCACTGGGTGAGCACCTGGAGGCCCAACTACCCCTTGCACTTCAAACTCCCAGTTTTCACAGGGACGTAAGAATATTTCTTACTTCTTACTTTGTTCCAACCATCTACTCAAAGAGGGTCTGGTCAGTCAATAAAATCAGCAGACTTGACAGTGATTCACATGTGGTAGTGGGTCTCTTGAGTGGCATTTACTGAATACATCATGTCCATACTCTAGCGCTGTCAGAGGAAAATCCCAAACCTACAGGAGTCAGCAGGATTTTCCCATTGATTTCAACCACAGCTAAGATGTCCTCCTTGGTCAGAGACAATAAAAACGAACAACTTTGTCAAACCCTTGAACGGGACCAACCTGAAAGAGGAAAGCGTCTCCAAGGGAGTTACTGAGACAGAAGACAAAGTCCTTCTTGGGGTGTTCAGGCACCGCTTGCACTATGCTGTTTTCCACCCAGACAGCGTGCTTTGGGATGCTGTTGTGGTCAATGCCGGATCTGCCATCAGTCTCATAAAAAAACAACGTGCATCCTAAAAGAGATGATTGTACATTAGCAAGCGATACATTTAAAACACCAACAGCCACCCTGCATCTCTTCAGCACTGGTACTTGGGACTATAAATCATCCATAAAAATGTCACAGGGATGAGGGAGGATTTGCCGAGGCCATTTAAGTTTTCAGCCCCACAGCAGAAAGCACCAGCAACAGCCCAGTTTTTAGCCAGACAAGGTCGTAGTTTCCACGCCATGAAGGCACACCATGAGCTGTATGGTACTTGAAGCTGTGTCCCAGCAGGCCATTTTATTAACTCTAGGCAGCCTCAGGCGTGAAAGTCATGGGTAGTAATACACAGCCCCAGATGAGAAACGTCATTATAAGTCCGAAAATGGGGATCCTCCATGGCCACTCAGTCCCACTGAGGGGACCAAAGGAAGACACAGGCATGACAGTGTGTCTCCCATAGCAGTGCTGAACAGCTTCGAGCGGCCCTGAGGAGCAGACAGGCCCCAGGCAAACCTCCATGGCCCTGCCTCAGCCTCCTTCAGCTGCTGCAGTCCCTGCAAGGCAAAGATCAAGCGATTTAATTACTGGATGCAGATGAGTAACTGGAAGAAAAATGGAGTGAGTTTTGCTCCCTGAAAGACTGACGTACAAAAACAACCCAGCAAACAAACAGAAGGCATAAACCGAAATCCTTATTCCACTTATTCCTTACTCCAGCTCTAACTCAGGGTGATGCAGCCAAAAACAAAACCCCATTATAACTGGGGGCAGCAAACAACCTGCTTGGTTTTACAAAATAGCCTTTACAGCTCTCGGGGTGGATGGGGGAGGTAGGTATAGCAAGTCTGCAGTTTGGGGGACTCAAGCAAAAGTTGTGTTTTACTGAAACTGTCAGATAGTTTCTCTGTCTCTGGAACCAGCCCTCTCGATGTAAAGGGATTCCCTGTTACCCAGCCTCTCAGAAAAGTATTTGCAGCCAAACAATAGCAGCTGTTAACTTCAAAGCCTCGCTTCAACACTAACATTATTAAGGCACAGCAATCCAAGGAGCAAACACTCCACTTGAATCAAAGCACTTCAAAATAACATTGCCTCTGTGCTCTTCCTTCCCCTTTTTCCCTCCCAGATGGCCCTTTGTTTGCCTGCTCCTCACAGCAAGACCTTCCTGCCACAGGGCCTTCCTTTCAAGAGATTAGGGCTGCCTCTGCCCCCTCTCTCTCTCCTCCTTCACGTTCCCAGTCTCCCTAACCACCCCGAGGAAGAGCTGGCACCCAACTTCGCTGCTGGTTTTTAAACAGTGCTGCAAATTAAAACAAAAAAAATGTTATCTAAAAAAAGCACTCTGTGGGGAGCACAGGGCTTTAAATAGCCTGGCCTTCTTGGTAATCCCACCTACAGCAGGAAACATGGCTCTGCCTTCCCTGGTTTACAGAGGAGGCTGGTAGTGATGGTGAAGAGCAAGGCCAATCCCAGAACCCTGCAAGCGTTGTTCCCGTTTTACTGCCAATGCAACCACAAGAAGATTAATTAGAGGTCACTTTAGGAGGCCAGCTCCTGAGTTTCACTGCTCTGTTAATATTTATGTGCATTTATAAGCACTCAGACCCCAGACAAGGCCGGAGCATGCTCCTAGTAGGAATGGCCACATGCTGAGGGATGCCCACCGCAAAATGGGTGATGCACACAGAGCCAACCTCTCCCAAGTCACAGGCCAACCTCAATGACCAAACTGTGGCTTCCTGTCCACACCATGAACGTGTTGCAACTCACTGAGTGTTTATACTTACGAAGCAGGTCTCGGAGGAGAGGCCAATGGCACTAAACACAAGAGTTACAAGAGGAATGCAGACAAAGACAGAGCTCCTGTTTGAAGGCATGCCACTGTCATCACTAGCAAACTCCCACCGTCATGTGCCTGCAGCTGCACACAGGTATTTAGTTTCTCAGCAAGCCATAGATGTGCTTCTGAAAGGAAACACCCAGTGCTCAGAGAAGCCACCCTATGTGGTGACAGCAGGACTCAAAGATAGGTATTCCATGACTCAAAGCAGGGTATAAAACCCACTTCAGTGCAGCAGTCACATGCCGTGGACTACATGCGTTGCCATAATGTGAGTACATCAACAACCATCAAACGAAATTCCTATCTGAAAAACATCAGGACAACTTCCTCATACTTGATGTTAATTATACTGAAGTTCACAGCAGCTTTTGTTAAGAGTCTAGGCTACTGGTTTCTTCATCTGCAGCAACACACAACCCACAGGACACCGCGGTCACCCATCTGGATGACCTCTTGCACACTCGCTCTGTACCTTTCAGGGAAACCCAGTAGTGCTTCCATTTCCGGCGCGTGGCTGACTCCACTTTCTTGTTCTTTTTGTGCACCAGGAAGTTTTTCACTGCCAGAGCACCGGCTTTGCGTACCGTGCCCTGGGCAGCTGTCAGGAGGATGTCAGACTGCCCTGGGGAGCTGAGGGTGCCGCTGCTCTGCTCGTCGCTGAGGGCAGAGCCGGCCTCCTCCAGGTTCTCGCTGTTGGTGGTGCTCATCTCCAGCTCCCGGCGGAAGTTCTCGTACACCCCCTGCCGAAGCCCATCGCCTGTCGAGCTGCTCCCACTGTCGCTGCCGATGAAAGCCCGACTGGCTGTCGGGGAGTAACTTGAGTTGGTAGCATTGGAGCGTCTAGAAAGAAGGTCAGTGTCGGTGGCTGCTCCCTCGATCCCACTGTCAGTGAACTCGCTCCCGTCACCTGCGTTGACATCCTAGTTGCAGGGGAGACACAGTGTAAGATGAAGAGCCTGGACAAGCCTGTCCTTCTGGAGATACCATCAGAACCCAAAACGCACAGCTAGCACCATGTTTCTCCACACCCCCATTTTGTCTGGCACTGGAAATCCCTCATCTCTTTTTGTTCAGAAGACAAACAACTGGAATTAAAGGTGGGGTAGGCAGAACTTCCATCACACTTTAGCAAATACCAGCCATACAGGCACAATTTCAGGTGGTGCTTCTACAGCCTTAGCATTTTGGAATATAAGACACAGCATCATCTGTTTACATTAAGCTAACAGTGCTAAAGGTTTTGCAAAAGGAGAACATATGGGAGCAAAAACTGGTAGTGTCAAGAAAAACAGCAATCAACCTACACATTTTGAAAGGAAAACATTGATATTGTATGCTCACACCTCCAGCTGAAGATGAATCTTAGATAGCCCAAAGATTATAATTTGAAAATTATATAACTAAAAAGGTACCCCCTTTTTTTTATGCTAAGAAGTTAATGTATTTGAGATTATTTCTGGTTTGTGTCACTTCAACTTCACAAACACTAGTCATTTGCCATGTGATATCCCCTGCCAAATCCCACTGTGACAGACTGTCAAAATACAACAGAAGACCTTTCCTGGTCCCAAACAACTTGCAGCTGAAGTGTCAGAAGAGCCAAGAATATGGCCAGCTTGAATAAGACAGGAAACAACACAACTGAATTCAGGTTTTGAAGGCATACTGGCTCAGCCTGCCCCCTGCAACAATGCTGGTGCTCACAGGAGGCTAACCTCTACCATCTCAGTGCCCAGAGGCATCTGTAGCAGTTTTTGAAGGAGGACAAAAAAAGGCCAAGCCCTGTAAGTGGAGACAAATATCTTACATTAGATACTCAGGAGAAGAGGGAGCCAAGGAAGAAGATGCAAAGTGGTGAGAAACATGGCCAAAACAACAGGAATTTCAGCCTCCGCCTCTCCTGCAAGAGCAGCTGGTGCTCAATTTACAAGTTATTTTTAAAGAAAGAGAAGTCTCTGAGAAGAGGTGGCAGAATGCGGTGTTTATTTTGAGAGAAAACAAGCTTCTAGGTGTTGGTTCAAGCACCAGTTTTCTGTGCATTCAAGAGCAGCTCTGCATAAACCAAGAAACCCTCCACCGAGCTCTGTTTGAAGCCTTCCTCCTGTGGAGCACGAGCTGGATGAGAAAACCTTAGGGGGAGGGGAGGGGTGTTGCTGAATTCGACTAACTTTTAAGGCGTTTGTTTGTAATGGATGGGCCAGTTCTTTATAAACGCTACCTCTCGGGGGGGACTTGAAGTCCAGCTGGAAGAATAAGTGCTTCCTTCCCTGCTCAGTGAGCACAGTTATCCTAGTCAGCCTGGTTATTTAATGCAACACATTGTGATAGACAAGCTGCTCTGGACTGGCCAATATTCCTCTACTCCCACTGCACATGAATGAGCCGAGAAGGGCTTCCAGTAAGTGCAGTTATCTATCCACACAGAGAAGTCTTCACAACTGCACGATTTTTCCTGCTGTTCCAATATACGTGTATTTTGGAAACCAATTTTCTTCCCATTTCTTGCAGCACTGCAAAGGAGTGATATCTGGAGAGGGGAACTGGTGCTGCTCAGAAACGTGTGTTTACAAAACACTGCTGCGAGTGAGTTTTTGCTCTCCATCAGGAAAAGCTGGATGGTGCACCTTCTGATGGCAGCACTCCATCTGAGACCCTGTGCGTCAGGGAGTCAGGACTGGCATGGCCACTTGATACTCACACACCCGAGGCACTGCCTCTCTGCCAACACTGCTACATCGGCCTAAAACTGGAACACCAAAGAACTGAATCAGGTCCCCCATGTTGCCTGGTATAATTATTCCCATAGAAGAATCAGGGTTTGCATTTGCCTTCTGGGCCCTTCTTCTGTAACTTTTTTGAAGGGAAAAAGTGTGACACTCATATAGCATAAATGAATCTGTGTTCTGCAATGAACACTGCATAATGGTAGCAACAAAAATTATTTGAGCTTTTGAGCATTTTATTTTAGGTTAATTATTTCATAAACATTCAGTCTGTCTTGTAATTATTCATGCTATACAAAAAGTACAGAGCGAATTTCAAATTTTTAGGTAACATAACTTTTAGGAAGCATGTCTCATGCTTTAACTAGAATTAGTCTGTTTAAAAAAATAAAGAGCTACTAAAACAGACCACCGACATGAAGGATATAGCATTTGTAATTTTGCCAGGCAGTGCATGCATAAAACTTCTTTGGTGCTTTTTAGCAGATGGAGTGTTATTTTCAAAACGAGAAGGGCAGAGATGTTCAAGCACAGCGCTGCAGTGCAGGCTCTCATGGTCCCTCACACCTGGTGATACACAGCATTAATTGCCTCAGTTTGCCCATCCATACATGAGGATTATAGTCCATAACTGACACACAGGCATAACGGTTAACCGTTCATTAAAATATGCAAGGATGGAAAGCTCAGACTGCTATACACGCTCTTGAGCTTAAATTGTAACACTTTATGCAAACATCTGTGTAATCTCTACCACAGTGCCAACAATAGGCTGGATGGGTCAAAAGATCTTTTCAGCGTATTGCTGTAGCCCTGCGCTGATCCCTCTGCTCTTAGACTCCCTTTTCCTGTCTTAAATATCTCGTATCAAACGCTTTGAGCAGCCAATTCAAGCCCTTTAGTAGGAGGAGGGTCTGAGCATACAGAGGTCAGAGTGGTTCAAAACCTACAGCCTGCTAATATTGTTCATGCTCATGAATTATGAAATGTAGCATTGAGTGAGCTTAGCACTTTCGGAAGTCTGCTGTATGAGAAGATTGGTCTCAGGGTTAGTAGGGTTAAGAGCATTCATTGCACAGGTCTCTGACTTCTGAGTTCCTGCTGCAATGTCAGCTCCTTCTCATCAGAGGGTATGAAAAGATCTGACAAAGCAGCCAGCATCTGCTCTGGCTGTCCTGCAGTGCTATAACCCACATACTGAAGCGCATTCAATTAAGAGTTCAGCAGAAAGTAGAGAGGTTTAGTATTGTGCTTCTACAGAAATGTGCCAAGGCTGAAGGGTAACAGTCCCAAGCCAAGCAACCAACCGTAGCAGGGTTTGATGAACACACCACCGGGAGCACAGAACTACTGCAAATTTTCAAACAAGGATGCTAAAAACTAGGCATCCCAGCTCACGCTGTGAGCAGCATAGCTCTCTGCTGATGAGATCAATACATGGCCCCCTAGCTTTGGTTTTTGGCTCCCTACCCAGAAGCAAAGCAAACATTGCATAACCTTGATGAGAACTATTTAAGAATTACTAATGTTTCCTGCTTAGGTTCTCAAAGAGCCCCACGGGCAACAGCAACTGTGTCCCTCCTTCAGGGAAGACTTATTACCATTCCAGGTCCATGATGGGATGCACCACAAAGGCTTGCTAACAACACAGGCATTTCAGTCCTCAGCAGAAGGAGTTCCCAGGTGAAGACTCTTGAGGCCAAGAGTGAACTACAGACATGGCTCAGCCTTCATTACCAGTCCCTCTGACTCCTACCCAGTGTCCCTGCAGCTCTCCATCATGATGCTGATGGCATGTACCAGGCACATCTTGGGAGCTGGGGAGACAGCTGAAGACTGCAGAGCACAGTTTGGGACATCATACACACATTACAACGAATCACCAGCACATTACTCTGGACTTGTAATTGCTATCATGAAGGGCCTCTGGTTCATTTTATGGGTCAAAACCTCCCAAAGTTTCATTCAGCAATGTGTACAATTCAGGACACCAAACGTGATACTTTGCATTTCACCCAAGATCTTGTGTTTTGTACTTTCAGGCTGGCAAACAGCTGTATCCACACAGAGGAATATTTTTGCCCAGAGAAACCATCCCAGGAACCAAATGCAAGACTGGAACTAAAATCTGTGCTGCCCCACTTAGCCTTTCCACTGGTGTTTATCTAGCTTCGGGCCTGAGAGGACAAAGAGGGCAAAGCAAGAGGGAGGTGGAAATCATTAAATTGGTCACACTAAGTAGAAAGCATGCAGCAAAGAAAGGAAAATGTATTTCCTCAAGACAGAAAGATGGGGGAAGTCATGGGAATAGCAGTTCTTAGCATTTTGCGAAGACAGCAGGTCGTAGAAGACAACAAACTGAACGAAGAAGGGGTTTTGTCATTTCAATTTAAGATTACTCTATGGAAAGATGGATGTATAAAGACCACGGGCTAAAGAAGGAAACTAAACAGGGTGTAGTGACTGCTGCACAGTGTGCCTTGATGGGGAGGTGGTTAAGTAGTAGCAGAGCTTCCACCAGGATCTGGGATCCCTGCCACTGCTGAAGATGCCAGAGAAGCAGAACCATTTCTTATACTGGCAGTGCTACTGTATCAGTTGTAGATGCACAGGGCTTATGAAAGGAGGTTTAGCAGACAGTAAGAGGGAAAGAGGAAAGAAAGGTTGAATGCCTGACAACAGAGAGATACAACACAGTGAGAAACCAGAGATGGGCTGAATAGTGCCGTTGTTACCAAAAAGAATGCACTGAGGCCCAGCAAGCAGGCCACGTGCCAAGACAGCTACAACAGCCCTAATAGCATTCAAGTGTAATGAAGCGGAATTATCACAGCCCCATCAAATTCAGAGAACAATTTAACTGATGAACCAATTGGGTAAAATATTAGTGAAAGTATTTGCAACCCACTTAAATATATGGTTTGTCCTCACATGAGCACTGGGTTTCATGCAAAGCAAGACAATGGGAATAAAACTGTAATGCAAGCTACATAAAGCTAATGTACTCAGCGCTGTAGCTTTTACATTCTCATGTGACACTCATACCTCTATATGCGCACTACAGCCATTTGTAAACATTATCTTGTTAAAAAATTCTTGCTAAATTTAGAAGATATACAGAAAAAGAAAAAAAAAACCAAACCAAACAAACCACTTTTGTTTTAGAAAAGAAGTTCTACTTTCAGCTAGCCAAAATG